TGTTTAGCAGCATCCACTAACTAGATGCCAGTGGCACTGCCCCAGCTGTGACAACCAAAGATGTCCTAGACACTGCCAAATGTTCCCTGGGGGGCACAATCATCCCTAGTTGTGAACCACTGTTCCAAATCATATTTAACTTCTGTTGGAACTGTGTATGTATAAATGGGAATCAAGAATCTGAGTTAACTAAAATGTAACAGTGAATGAGAAAAAAGTTTCCAAATGAGATTACAAACAGAAATAGGCTTCTTGTGAGAAAACATTCTGGACAAACTAGTAGAAACCTTTATGAAAGGGAAGAGTAAAAAAAAGAAAAAAGAAAGGGAACAATATGGGGGGAAAATGGACTGTCAAAAACAAAAACTTTTCACCATGAAAAGAATTCCTTTTGGGTATATATCACCCAAATAGAAAGCAAACTATTTTCAATACTTTATTAACACCTCTAGGCAGTAGCACATTTTTTTTTTAAAACCAAACTATCAAGTAGTTAATGCTCATGAGTAATTTAAATAACTGGTGACGGGATCCCAGGGTGGCGCAGCGGTTTGGCGCCTGCCTTTGGCCCAGGGCGTGATCCTGGAGTCCCGGGATCGAATCCCACGTCGGGCTCCCGGTGCATGGAGCCTGCTTCTCCCTCTGCCTGTGTCTCTGCTTCTCTCTCTATCTGTGTGACTATCATAAATAAATAAAAATTTAAAAAAAAAATAACTGGTGACCATCTTACCATTCTTACTGTATTTCACCTTCGGTATTTACTAGAGAAAAGTATTTTCTAAGAAACATAATCCTTAGTCTCAATAAAATGAACTTCTTCCTTCATATTCTGTTAACTAAATAATATGATATCTTATGTATTCATCAGGGAAATTAAGATTTGATTCTACTTTGCTACACCATAGTATATGATTTAGTGCTACAGAAAGCCACAGCAGACTATCTCTGATACTAAATAGCTACTAATCTATAATACCATCTTTCTGAAAATAAAAAGAATATGAAAACATGTCCCTCTCTAGCGCGAAGATTCAATTCATTATAGAATCACTGAAAAGTAACTAGACTTGGGCTTAACTATTCATTGTAACGTAGGGCCCTTTGTGCCAAATAACACTACTTTTGGTGCCATAATGTCTTAATAATACAGAAAATACACTATGTGCAAACCACATGTGGCTAAACTCAGTTTTAATTGGCTGGAGCAGAAGACCAATGTTTCCTATTTTGAAAATTAGCACTTCTTAGCATCTTTTTTTAACTCAAATCTTAATAGTTGTTGTGAATCTCCATAAACATTATTACTTTATACAGGATTATAATTTATTAATTCAAAGGAGTTCTTATCTACATGATTTTTCCTGATATTCATTTTGGGGAGGCAAGCATTCTGACGCTGATATTGTTCTGCTGATATCACTGTTAAAAACTATGGGCCACAAAATCCTATATCCTTTGTAATTGTGAAAGCAAAGACCAGTGGTGTGAAGATATTTTTCTTGGCTGTCTAATTGCTACTAAACATCTAACTACATAAAAACAGTTATTAATATTCATTGAAAATAAACGCAAACTGCAGTGGCCAGGCATGCATGCATGGTTGGGGTGGGGGGAGGGTATTGACAAAGGAAGCAAGGCCCAGAGGCAAGCAGGAGAAGCCCAGGGACATTGACATTGATGGACAAGAGATAGCATTACAGTACCTGACAGCCTGTGAGAACAAGAGGAGTAAGACAGACCAGGTAAGAGAGCGCTCACGGTGTGAAGGAGGAGCGGGACGCTTTTAGTGGCAGGCAAAGCCTCAGAAAGGTGGACACAGTTGCTGATAGACTGGCTTCGCTTAGCTTCCAAGAGAGATAAAGTAACAGTTATGTCAGAAGCACATCAGGATCTTTCACTTTTTTTTTTAATTACCATTTTTCTGGGCTTCCTTTCAATATTTAAAGGAAGTCATTTTATACTTTAAAGAAATCAGTACAAAGCAGAGTATTTAGCTGTAGTCTCTAAATACAGCTTACCTTCAACCATTCTGATGCCATGGGAGAATGGACAATTCACAAATAATCAATCCTATTTTAGAATGCTTTACATGTTTAGCCTTCCTTTTTTCCTTACATTTGGGTTATTTGGGCAGACACTACAATCAGTTTTCCCTTCCTAAAGGACACACATATGAAAAGACCATAGGGAGGGAGTGAAAAATCTAGCCTAAGATTAATATTGTTCTATAAATAATAAATAATTCAAAAATTGGTTTGCTGAGAGGTGACTGTATTCAAGCAAATCACTTGGTAAATTAAATATCCTAAAACCTCAGGAAAACATTAAAGTCAAGATAACATTAAAAGATTTGATATTGGGGGAAAAAAGGCAAAAATCTCCATGAAACCCATCCTTTTATAATACATTTCATGCTTATTGAATCTATAATTTCTTAGTATGAACTTTATGATGTTCTTAAGTTTTCAAAAGACTGCTAATGAAATGAACATTTGAGAAAAAGGATAAATGCAGGAAGAGAATACACCTCATATATATGTAACTACCATCAGTAAGATCAGTTTTACACCTTAAAATATAAAAGTTTACTTGTTTGTTCTTACATAATTTTATTTTGCATTAATGAAATACAAATACAAACGAGAATGACACATTTGCAAAGGGCAAAACAAACCTTTTACTTCTTTATTATGTCTCTTCTGGCCCCGTTCTCTGGCTGTCAAAATTCCCAGTTCTAATCCCCACGTCTAAAGGTCTATCTGTAATGTGATTACAATACACTTCACAAATGACTAAGATAATATTTAAGGGAAAATGACTTCTGTGTGAATGTCAAACTGACTTATTTCAAATTTCTTAAAAGAGGTGTTCATCTCTCAATGTCAGAGGTGTTTGAAAGAGCTTTCCTTTTATAAATTCAAATGATTGCATTTTTTCAAAACTGATCACTAAATATTTTAGAAATAATAAAACTTAAAATAATTTTTTGTGTGTAGAAATTGACTTGCTTTAATCACTCATTTTAGACATCTAAAATTTAAGCATCATTCACAATCAGAGTTTTCCTTTATAATTCTTTGGAAGACTCTCCTTATCAGTTTTTTTTAAGTTGCAAACTAGTTCATTCTGTTAAATTATCATTTCCCTACTCTGCAACTGCTTATCTTATTATTTCCATCTTGCCACCATCACTGAAATTTTCTCAATCTAAATGTAATCTGTGAGGCAAATTATAATAATCTTAAATTACTCTTATACTGGGATTAGGAAAAAAAGTCACTTTCAATGGGTCTTCCATAATAAATACTTTAATGCTAAAAGTGGCAAAAACTAATTTTCTGAGCTACTGTTATCTCATTAAGAGGTGGCCTTCACACAAATGAAAATCTACCATCAAAGTATTCTGAATTTCTAAAAGATGGAAAGGTGAATTATTACACAAAGTAAAAATAAGAGAAATGAGTAAAACTACTAATAGTCTATATAAATTAATTTTATAAAACAGCATGATACAGTAAAATCTTCAGAGACTTGTTTTCACAGGCAACTAAAAAGACAAAAATGTAAAATAAAATAGGAAATACACTAGAGAGTGGAGCATGCAATTCTTGATCTTGGGGTTGTGGGTTTGAGCCCCACGATGGGTATGGAGGTTACTAAGAAATAAAATATTTTTTTAAAAAAGGGAACTATGTATGTGCAAAATACATGAAGTATTACCTTAGATAGATTCATCCAACTCAATAGCTCTTATCTTGTTATCTTTTAAAGGTTATGGTTCCAAGTGTTTTTAATTTAATTAATCCTACAAGGCCAGATTTATGACTTTTAAGTGACATAGTCTAAGATACCTTTAAAACGATTTTGTAGAAGTTCTTAATGATGCAATACAATGGCTTTTCAGACACCTGAGAACACTTAAGCACAGAAGCTCACTGGCATAAAGACATCAAGACTTACTGAGAGCACTATGGGTGCCACTACCATATTGTTGTTCTAAAACACCTGTTGAATAACTAAAATGCAATCTCTTCTAAGGCTGTGTTTTGGCCAAATAGGGAATAAGGAGCATACAGTATATAATAGTTTGCTGTCATTATTATATTCTAGATTTTTATTTATTTATTTGACAGAGAGAAAGCACGAGCAGGGGGTGGCAGGCAGAGGCAGAGGGAGAATCAGGCTCCCTGCCAAGTGGGGAGCCCAAGGTGGGGCCCAATCCCAGGATCCTGGGACCAAGACCCCAAGCCAAAGGCAGATGCTCAACCAACTGAGCTACCCAGGCACCCCAGTTTGCTGCTCATTAAACATGAAAGGAAAGTTCTATACAGTGTTTTGAATGATCACTTTTATTATCATTACAATTCAAAGGTTGTAAGGGGTATCAGAGAGTCTGGGCAGCTCAGGCAGGATGCCACTTTGTCACAAACTTCTGCTCTGATCCAATGGTGGAAGAAAAGGAAAAATTTTTAAAGAGTTGGAACGAGAATGGAAATCACTGAGTAAGCCTTCCCCAAAGGTGCCTATTATCAGTAACTGAGTCTCTCCTCAGGGGAGAGGATGAAGGAAAGTAGAAGAGGTGAATGGGAGGTGAATGTAAATAAAGTGGTTATTACCAACAAATGCTATGGCAGACAACATTAGATAGGGTTACAGTATATTTTCATAAAAACTCCAACAGGATTCTAAGCCATCTGTATGAAGTCTTTACTAAGCACTGTAAACTATGTTGAGTGTAAATGACTCTGGTTTATGACCAGAAGATATTGTGACTTTCTGTAGTCAACATGCTGAATATTGATTATAATAGCATGATATTACTGAAGTGAAAAACTATGGAAGCTCAGATAAATTTATTTTAAATTTATTATAAATTTTATAGCCTCAAAGTCACTGGAGGGAAGGGGAGTGGAATTTTAAAATTTTTTAAATATTTTATTCCTATAAATCCATTTTAGATAGCAACTAGACCTTAGAGAAATATTTAAGTAAACATTTACCGGTTGCTTTTTGGCGAACGATATTTCTTGCTTTCTCAACTCCTGGTGCCCCAGATGTGGTGGCACTCCTAGATCGCATCGGCTCAGTCACATCTGGGTGGCTCCGCCAGCTGAGAGAAAAGGACCTCCCCACAGTGGTTCCTTTCTGAGAATCCAGAACACAGCCTGATAAGGATAAGACAAGAAAAATAATATAAAGGCTGGATTTGTTATCTTTCATTACACAGTCTGTGTTGCTCAGCAAATTTCATAAATACAACTGTATGTAATTAGCAGATTTTCTTGTTGCAAAATTAGGTACGACTGGGGCACCTGGGTGGCTTACTGGGGCTGAGTGTCTGCCTTTGGCTCAGGTCATGATCCTGGGGTCCTGGGACCGAGTCCCACATTGGGTTCCCCACAGGGAGCCTGCTTCTCCCTCTACCTGTGTCTGCCTCTCTCTGTCTCTCTCATGAATAAACAAATGAAATATTTTTTAAAAAATTAGGTACAACTTCTCTGCCTTCCTCTTATATAGCTCTGGTCAAATATTTCAAATGAGTAGTTAAGGATCCAAAATAAATACACGGGAAAAGAGAATGAGGCAGAGACTTCTGCACAGGTATGATGTGGCCAGTGGCTATTATCTATGGTTCATTTTCACACCCAGGTTCCTGAGAGTGTATTTTGTTTCCACCAAGTCCAGTGTGTAGAGGACAGGTATTTCCATAACAAATAATTATTTTTTTAAAATTAATAAATTAATTTTTTATTGGTGTTCAATTTACCAACATACAGAATAACACCCAGTGCTCATCCCATCAAGTGCCCCCATCAGTGCCCGTCACCCATTCACCCCCACCCCCCGCCCTCCTCCCCTTCCACCACCCCTAGTTCGTTTCCCAGAGTTAGGAGTCTTATGTTCTGTCTCCCTTTCTGATATTTCCCACACATTTCTTCTCCCTTCCCTTCTATTCCCTTTCACTATTATTTATATTCCCCAAATGAATGAGAACATACACTGTTTGTCCTTCTCCGATTGACTTACTTCACTCAGCATAATACCCTCCAGTTCCATCCATGTTGAAGCAAATGGTGGGTATTTGTCGTTTCTAATGGCTGAGTAATATTCCATTGGATGCATAAACCGCATCTTCTTTATCCACTCATCTTTCAATGGACACCGTGAAACGCCGGGACACCTGCACCCCGATGTTTCTAGCAGCAATGTCCACAATAGCCAAACTGTGGAAGGAGCCTCGGTGTCCATCGAAAGATGAATGCATAACAAATAATTAAATCACTTTTTATATTCCTTTCAATATAATAGATAAATCAGAAACATCTGCCATAATCATTAAATAATTAAATCCATTCTGTTATCATTCCGTAAATAGTGTTTCTCAAATTTTTTACCTCCTTATAAATAAATACAACCTCTCACAGACTGCAACAAAGATATTATAAGAATCAGTCACGTCAATCACATGTCTGTATGGTTAAGTAATCACCATAATTGGTTCACATCTCCCCACATTCACATCCTCTGTTGTCCTCTCCCACAATGACCCTGGGCTTCATCACATGACTTACTCTGGTAGCAAAACTAAGCAAGCAGAGATTTGAAACGCACTTGAAAATCTAGGTTTGCCCTATTACTGCTCCTAGAACCCCTTATACAAAAAGTCTGAGCTAGCCTGCTGGGAGATGAAAGGTACACGGCCATGTCCTCCTCTCCATCCTCCACTGCCCGAGCTGCCTAACTGATTATTTCACAGCCTAACTGACTGCAAACACAGAAGTGAATCCAGCAGAAGAACTGCCCAACTGAGTCCAATCCAAATTGCCAACTCATTAAATCATGATCTAAACAATTGGCTATTACTTGAAGCCACTATGTATTAGAGTGATCTGTCATACAGGGAAAGGGAAAACTGATACAATCTATAATAAGGCTATTGTTGGGGCTATAGTCCACCACAGCAAGCAACACACACTTTATGAATCTTTGGAGGAAAAATTCCTCCCAGGTCTTAGGACCAGGAAAAGCTACGTACCACCTAAACTGTGGATTATTTTCACCTTTTGCAATTTGTGATCCTCTGATCTAATCCTGTGAAGATCAGAGTCAAATCTAATCTTGCCCCACCTCCCACCTCCCCAGCAAATATATGAGGCTCTCCAGCATTCATTCTGGCATTATAACCTCTCCTGCAATTCCACCCCCTTTAATTTTGCCCCAGTGTTCTTATGCATTTTATCTATTGTATTGCAGGAACTTCTATGAACTGCCTCAAAATCTTTACATAATAGATTAGAGTACAAGTGAATTAATCCAAGGACTATGTCACAGCCTTAATAGTACTGAAGACAAATTGTTGTCCCCAATAGAAACCACCAATGACATTTTCCACCTTGATCTGACTCTCGGTCTCAAAACAATTTTTACCCAGAAACACAAAAAAGCCAAAATGACTCCAACATTCAGAATGTTTCCACCTTTCCTAGGCAGGCAGTGAATACGTTTTTCTAGGATGCTGCCTTGAATTGGGACTTGCCTACCTTTTATTTCTGGCTTTCCCACTTCTTAGCTATGTACCTCGAATGAGTCCATCACAATGGACTCTATACTTTAGTTTCTCAGTCTGTGATACTGGGATGGTAGTATCCACCTCAGAAGTTACCATGAGGGTAAAGAAAGAGAATATATTCAAGCATAAGATGTTGTTGTTGTTGTTGTTGTTGCTACTACTGCTACTCTCCTTCATCTTCCTTCTTCATCCACAGCCTCTTCATAAACTCATCATTCTCTTTAAGAGGACAGAGTGCTATGAAACACAATCCAATGCCCCACTATTAAAAAGATACCACCTGTATGGCTGGTTCTTTTTACCATGAAATTCCATGCAATAATTGCCTATGTGTATAAACACACGCTCCTCCTCAGTCTCAGACATCTGGTGTTATCTTGCAAGAGAGAAGTACCTTTGCCTCGCTGTTTCTTTTCCTTCTGTTCACTTAATTTGTCCAGAGGTAGGTTTGTCATCTCAACTCCGTAAACAGTTCTCGCAAGCACTGCTGTCAAGGAGTCCATGATGTTGGCCCACTCATTTATGAGTTCTTCCCATTCCGTGAGGGAGGACAGCACCCTAAGGAAGTCATCCCAGAGCTCTCGAGAAATGTACACACAGAGATTTGCTCGGATCCATGCCACCATAAGTGTCTAAAACCAACCAACCAACAAGAGAATTGAATTGCCCTCATTTGGAAGAAGAATGGTATTTCAACAAAACAAAATATTTTAAATTACTATCATTAAAATGAACTTTAAAAAGCACTTGATCTTGTTTTTCTTTTTTATTTCTCACAATTCATTTGATCAACTGTCACTAGGATCTGAGCTACTGAGAAATTAGTCATGATTATGAACAAAGCTACTGATTCACAAATCCCTCTAGTGCCTGTGGCTAGTCCTGGACATAACTGGGGCGAAGACAAAGCTCTTAGAACTATTCTATTTCTTTTTTTTTTTAATATTTTATTTATTTATTCACGAGAGATAGAGAGAGAGAGAGAGAGAGAGAGAGAGAGAGAGAGAGAGAGAGAGAAAGGCAGAGATACAGGCAGAGGGAGAAGCAGGCTCCATGCAGGGAGCCTGATGTGGGACTCCATCCTGGGTCTCCAGGATCAGGCCCTGGGCCAAAGGCAGATGCTAAACCGCTGAGCCACCCAGGGATCCCAACTATTCTATTTCTTGAGACAGCTCTCTCTCTCATTCTCTACAATAGCTACTTCTAGCCTCCTTTTCAATACATAAACCTCCAGCCCCACCAACTCCTCCCTGTTTTTTAGCAGATGAACTCACTGCAGACTTGAGAGAAAACAGAACCCATTAAACAAGAATGCCCTCAACTTTTACCCACAAGGCACAGGTGTTTGCCCAGCTTCTCTTTCATCTGCAGGTTGTAAGTAGAGAGGGGCTCCCACTCTTCTCTGCTTGTTTCTCACCTCTGCTCTGAGCCTCCTCCTTGACCTTTGTTTCCATTAACCCTGCCTCTCCTTTTCCTTCAGTCTATTCTACTTCTGCAGCTCCTCTCCATCAGTATTTAAACACGCTCCAAGTCTACCTCATCTTAAAAACAAACCAAAAAGTTCCCTTGAGCCCAGATCTGCCCCACCTGCCCCCAACTAGAACTTCTAAAGCCAAATTTCTTGAAAGAATGTTCCACGCTCACTGTGTGTGCACCTCCTCATCTCCCAGTCAGCCGAGTGCTCTAGCTTTCTACCTTCCTATGCCACTCCACCTCTGCCAGGGTTCTGGTCTCCACTCTCATGGCTCCAGTTAACATCTATATATGGTTGACTTTTGAATCGCATGTTCAGCCCAGACCTCTTTAGTTTCCTGACCTTGTCTATCTGCATGCTAGACAGCTCTACTTGCATGTTCTGCATGCACTTGTTTACATAGCATAATAGTAAAAAGAATTCAATTCTTCCACTGAGATTCTTTCAGTCTCTCGACCTGGTCTCTCCTGCTCCTGGACTTTGCATGCAGTCTTCATTCCTCGCTTCCCTTTCTTTTTTGCCTCTTTAACTCCCATTCTTCAGGTGACAATGTGGACATTATTTCCTCCAAGGCATCCCTAACTGCCACCCCACCCAGCTTCCAGTAAGTAACCTCCATTCCCACAACTGTCTCCATCTCCCTATCAGAGCACTTTCCATAGGAGTGCATTCACTTCTCTATGTCCTTCCTCTAGCCTAATGGTCCATGGCACTATGAGTAGCCACATAGGCAACCCTACCAGACAATTATGCATATATTCTATATATTTCCTTACTTTTGAAACTACCTAGTTCCTTACCTCTGCCAAAATACTTCACATCCTTTAAAATTCAAATAAAAATATATCTGCCTTGAAAGAAGTACCAAGTCCATCTCAGGTGAGCCCCAAGGGCTTTCCTAATCTTACTACAGGGCAGAGTTAACCAAAGTCTGTATAACTTCCTTGATCTGTTGTCAGAACTAAATGTTCTCTTTAAAGTGCCAACCTGCACATATTTCTACCCACCCCAGGTGCAAATAGACTCCCACAGTCGATGGGAGCTGTCCTATGCATGGAATAGGGGCAAATTGGCTTTTTAATTACGAGAGAAATTTTTCTTTAGCATACACATAGGAAAACTTTGAGAAATAGAAAACAGTCTGTAAATAGTTCTATTCTGACCACTGAGAAATCATATTTAAAGTGACCCTTATGCAATGTATCTGTTTTCTATGTTTCAATTCACATTTACCACACTTTTTGAGAGGGTAAAAATGTGAAAGTTGAGCTAAAATCATTAAATATATTGAAAACAAAGTTTTAAACATTCATACTTAAAATACAATTCTAAGATGGATGAATGTGAAAGAACAATGCAAAAGAAAAAGCTAAAATGATTTTATCATTTCTTACTACTAAGACCTTATATATATTTATTATGACTAAAATGCCACCTCCTGTTTATTCTACTTTACATTCCTGTTTTCAAAATGAGTTTAAAGGCATTACCATAAAGTACATAGGCACAATAAAATAAAGAGTAGATCAAAAAGAGAATCTTAGCAGATTAAGAGGAGAAAGGAGAGACCGGCAATGCTGCCAGCGGTCAGCCTAACTTCTGGTTACAGCACTAGCCTCAGGTTAAAAGCAGAGTTTTTGTGTGGTAGAAGATGCCCTGTGCTGAGAATCTTGCACTGGTGTCACTTTATTGACTAATTATAAAACAAGGACAGAACAGACTTCTTGCAGTTTATTAAATTCATCTTAGCAAATCTCAAAAACGTGCACAGAGCTGACGAATCATCATCATCATCCATAAGTCACAGCTAACAACACTTGAACCTAGAGCAAAACTGTTGACAACTAGTGTGGGGCAGACGGGTGATACGTTTTTGCCCATGAAGGCAGGCTGCTCTCTCAGTAAGTGAGAGAGGTTTCTCCTCTCATCTAGGAAGAGGGAAAGAGAGAGCTCCAGACTCTGGGTTCTGTCACTAACTTGATGTGTGAGCTGGGCTATTTACATGGCTTTTCTGGAGTCATTTTTTGGTTAAAAGTAAAAAGCTGAATAAGAGCATCTCCAAAGTTCCTGCAGCACTGAAACTTATGTTTTATCAAATATATCCTGGCAAATAAGCTGTATAAACAAATATATCTGTTCTGAAAGCACTCCTTTTCTTTTCATATGTTTTCTAATCAACCACTTGCTACCTCTCCTCACCACACCTAGGGGACTACATAATTCTAAGTACTGCAAGTAGAGGGACCCATAGTCCAGGTTTCCTAATATACTGTCAGAGCTTCAAGCATAAGATCCTATTTAGCACTGATAACAGATTTAAACATCACTTATGGCAAACAGCATCTCTGGCAAATATTTAAATAAAATCCAACTATCATTTGAAGATTTGCCAATTCAAGTTATCTACTGAGAGAAGAAACTAAATACTAGAGGATATTTTTAAAAAAGATAAAAGGATAATGGCAACTCAGAACTTCCTGTCCCCTTTAATAGCTTCTTTATTCAAAAATTTTAAAAATCAAGCATCTGGCAATTGTAGACATTCTACATGAACAGATAATAATTTAAATGGCACATTTAATTTTATATGAAATTCAGATGATGCCCACTTGATTTCCTGGCAGAGTTCTCCAGACCTTTCACATTCTTTCTCTTTTCTTGGATCTCACAAAAGGGCTTGGGGAGGTCAACATATGATTATAAATCCCAGATGAACCTGCTTTGATTCTTATGACAACTCTGAAAGGTCAGAAGGACTTCTCTCCTAATCGTGACAGATTAGGAAGAGACTTAGAAAGGTGAAGTGACTTGCTCAAGGCTGCACAGCCAGGATGTACCAGAGGATTCTGGATCAAAACTCAGAATCCGTCTACTTCCAAAAAGGTCATCCTCTCTCCACTATTTTATGGTTGCTTCTTAATTTAAAGATTATTTTTGATTCATCTAACCATTCCAAAAGAAAGATGACATCAAAATAATTAATACTCATAGACTTAAAACTAATTTTTCATATCTGACAAGATTCTCCATTAATAAGGGTTTTTTTCTCCCAAACCAAAACTAACCAAACATACCAAAAAATAACAACTCCACAATAGATTCTTGCTTAATTTGGTGACAAGTTCTTGCTCTAATTCCATCACAACCCATAGATGCAAGGCCAGACAATGGTGATGAATGAGGCCCAGGCATCCAGTAGCCAGAGCCTGTCTTTAGTCCATGTCACTTGGCAGCCCCAGTCCCAGCAGGGATAGAAGAAATGAGAAGGTGTTGATCATGAAACTTTCCAGGAGAGTCAGAGCTAAGTGAGCAGAGTGTCTATACTCCAGGAGGGAAGCAAAGCAAGTGGTCAGTACCACCCTTGAGGCAAGGCTGGACACACACAAAATGATGTGTAGACTATTTCCTTTACCTAATAACTAGGCAAGGCAATCAGAGTTAAGAGTGATTCAATACTACTCAGGAGGCAAGTGAGTACATGCCAATTATTTCTGCAGCCTCTCATATATTTTTCATCAAGCCAAGATCATTTGATCATGTTAAATTATTAAAAATTAATATGAACAGTTGGGTTCTCTTGTGTTACAGTGGGAATATACAACCTTATTTAGAGAACTAGTTTCTCTTTGCGTCACCCTCCATTTTCTACCTATATTCTAGATATGCTCTTATCCTCCAAAACTACCTTCAAGTCAACTGAAGGGGGTAAGTTGACTTCTCCTCCCTATAACCGTCACTTCTAGCTCATATTCACCATACTATCTTCCACCAAATTACTCAAAGCCAGCCCATCTATTGTACTATGCCTCTACTCTATTTGTATAGAATGTTACACTTAAAAAAAAAAAAAAGAATGTTATACTTTTCCAGAGTCCTTTCACACTGCTCTCTTTCAGAAATGCTTTATCAATTCTGTGTATCCCATAAATGCTAGTGCTTTCCAGAGCAATGCTGCAAGAGGCTACTGCACTCAGGACCCTTTAAAACTCTACTTCCTATGCAGTTAGTTCATCATCTGCTTCCTGTTCTCTTCCCCTCGGGATGATGCCAGACTACTTGGGTTCTTGACCCTTCTCACTCTGTGAGATGTAAGAGAAACAGCCATCTCCTTGGCTCTCTGCTTCTACCTGAGGCCAGTCCAGTCCCACTTACCTTATCTCGGACTTTACTTCTGTAGTTCTCCTTTCTCTCCCCCAGGCTGTCCTTACTGGACCCTTCTCACTGCAAGCGAACAGACTTTAAAACCACTCACCTAAACTCTGGCTTCCATGCATGCTGCCCACTCAACTATCTCCCCTTCTCCTCCTCTCTCCCACTCCATAAAACCTTAACTATACTTGCTATTTCTACTGCCCAGCTCTCATTTTTCTCTTCCATCCACTCCAAGGGAGCCTCATTCCCCTAGAATATTCTCAACCATCAACATCTTGTCAAAGCCAGTGTCAACCGGCCATTCTCCTCTTGCCCAATCCTTATCTCCAGTGTGCAGACACATGCTCCTCTAGTTTCCCTCCCAGTTCCCTGGCCAACCTTTCTCACCATCTTTGGATGGTTCCTCTCCTCCACCAACCATGGAAATGGCCTTCTCCTCTTTAGGACACAAAATCTCTCCATGGTGATCCCATCCAGTTCTGTGGCTTCAAACACACAGTCCAATATACTAATGACTCTTACACTTTTATTTCCAGCCTGAATCGCTCCATGACCTTATCCCCATCCCTGTGTTTCCATTTCCTTTTACTTCCTCAAATCCACCTGGCCCTCCACCAAGGACATCAGTTTTTATTGTCTTCCTAACTTCTACCAACCTCGAGGAAGTAAATGGCAGACAGGTGGGAAGGCCTAAAAGAAGCCAAGCACTAATAGTAAAAAGAGTGAAAGATTTATTTGATCTGAAGAGAAACCAGAGTATAGCCAAGCACTAATAGTAAAGAATAGATTACAACCTTTAAGACAAAGCTAAAAAAGAAATTTTAAATGAAATTTCAAGAAATCTATAGTTTAATTTTACTCTTAAAATTCTCAATGATTAAAATTATTTTACTATAAAATATGGTTCATTTTTTGCATTTGCAGTGTTTTAATAAAATAGACTTACCCTAAACAGTAACCCTGCCAAGCTCTGAGCAAACAAGTCCTTTATTTGTTTATCCTTTGGCTTCTGCATGACAGCTTCTGTTATCCTGAGTAGTATTTGCAACATCTGTTCCCTGGGCCACCCAAAATAAAAGCTCACGTTATTAATCACGTATCCAAAGCACTTTAATTTATAGGTACAAGAAATTCTCTTATGAATTCAGTAACAATGATAATCATGTATTACTCAAAAGTATTAATAATCTGAATGCCAATTACATAATGAATGCCATATTTTATCAAAATAAACTACCTTATGTCACCAAAGTTCAAAAAACATGTGACTTAAACTCACATCAATAAACAGGATAAAACAGGTAGGGGGTTTGGAAAGGTCACTGTTGGTCATCCTGAGGCACAAAGTTTGGTGCCTGGAAGATGCTTGATCTGCACAAGGGCACTGAAGACACATTAACACCGCTAATTATGTTAATAGTAGTAAGTTCTTCAGCACAGCTGAAGGGGCAATTTTATTTCTCACAGCTAAGTTAACAATCTTCACATCAGTGTTTGCTTATGTTTCCCTTTCTTGAATTCTATGCAAACCAAGAACACATATCTTTTGTATGCAAGAGAGGTCTGTTTGTTTTGAGGGGAAACACCCCCTGTAACTTCCCCTTCAAGGCCTTGTACACTAACTGTTCATTCATCTTTGCAACTTTCTCCTTGGCCTACATGCTCATTAATGATAAGACTGGGAACTGGACAAAGTAATTCAGTCCAGTTCAGATCATGAGATCTCCAAATCATAGTTCCTTCACACTTTTCTCATACTTCCACATATTGAAACAGTATTTTCTCTTAACATGACATTGAATCTCATTAAGCTTCTCATGGTACAATGATGTCTACAAATAGGGTTTCCTACCCTATTTATAGCTGACCCCATTTGATTTTCATCCCAGTGTTATCTGTTGGCATACATTTGGAACTTTGTTCTAGTTGTCTGCTTGTGCTGTACACTGTCGATGGGCTCTGGAAGCATGGAATAAGAAAAGCTGTCAAGTCATGGGAGATGTAGGCACACAAGAATGGAGCACACAAGAATGGGAGATGTAGGCACACAAGAATGGAGCACACAAGAATGGAGCTTGTGCTGTACACTGTCGATGGGCTCTGGAAGCATGGAATAAGAAAAGCTGTCAAGTCATGGGAGATGTAGGCACACAGCTTAGAGGAAAATGAGGGAAGAAATGGTGCAGAGCTGGGGACAGCATGTCTCTCACCCATTCAGGGTACCCAGACCTTTATCTAGGCCTTGGCATCAGCACTGCCTGCTCACATTTACATGTGCTTCAAACAACAAAGGACAGTCCTTTCCACATGAATGGTTACATACCCATCTTATGAACATGATGAAAACAAGAGACGTAATAATTTTCACATAAAACCTCAGTCATGGGAACTGCTATCAAAAAACGCAAACTTGGGGGCATCTGGGTAGCTCAGCTGGTTGAGCGTCCGACTCTTGGTTTCGGCTCAGGTCATGATCTCAGGGTTGTGGGACTGTGCCCTGCATCAGGCTCCACACTCAGCGGGGAGTCTGCTTGAGATTCTCTCTCTCTCTCCCTCCCTCCACCCCTCCCACCACTCATACACGTTCTCTCAAATAAATAGGTAAATAAATCTTTCTAAAAAAAAATGCAAACCTGACCAAAGCAATAACGACAAAGACACAGGGCTATTAATTTAATCTCTGAACCTATGAAAGCTTAGCAAGCCATGAAATGGCCACATAGTCTTCTGGAAGAAAATGAATTTGAAAAAATCGTCTCCAGTTTGGAAAAATCTTTCCCAAAGGTGTTGACTCCAGCTTCTTTCTTTTTATTTTGTGAAACACTGACTTTTGGTCCCTTCTCCTCAAAGAACAACTGCTCCAAGAGTATAAAACTTCCACAGAAACACGGGAAATTATGTATCTGTGCTATCCCTGCACTAAGGAACAGGATTTCCTGCAATCTTTATTACAGACTGTGTCCCCTTCTTTTCACACAGGCAGTAACCATTCACACAATGCTGCCGCTCACTATTCCAGGACTGCTTCTTAGCACTTTCCTGGCTACAGTCCTAATCTAAGTTGCCATCATCTATTGCTATGGACTTTGTGTACCAACCCTCACACCCAGCACCGTCTCTCCTCCAGAGGAAGTCAGAGAAATCTTCTGGAAACGTAAACTGGATTGTGTCGCACTCTTGTGCACACACAGAAGAGTAGCTGGTGTCCGTCCTGCGGCCTGCGAGGAAGGCCCCACACAAGCTGGCTCTGGTTGGCCCCAGTTCCATCCCCTCCTAGCCTCCCTCTCCTTCTCTAACTGGCCTAGAACACATCACACTTGCTACTTGCTTTTTTTTTTTTAAGATTTTATTTATTTATTGATGAGAGATAGAGAGAGAGACAGAGACATAGGCAGAGGGAGAAGCAAGCTTCTCGAAGGGAGCTCGATGTGGGACTTGATCCCAGGACTCTGGGACCATGTCGTCCTGAGCCGAAGGCAGATGTTCAACCACTGAGCCACCCAGGAGCCCCGCTACTCGCTGTTCCTTCTATGAGAAGCTCTATGCTCAGATGTCCCCCTGGCCCCTCCCTCCCTGCCCTCAGGGTGCTATTAATCCCCTCCAGGGAAGACAAAGGTCTTCCTGGACACCTCGATATTCCCTTAAGCCACCACTCTGTACTCTTCCCCAGCTTCACTGAAACTGCCTCTATGTTCATTCTGTTCCTCAGTCTATCTAGTTAACCCTATATCCTCACAGCAAGAGCTCAGTAGTCATGTACTGCATGAAAGAAGGGAGGAAGAGAATTCAGGGATTGCCTGGCACAAAAATGCATACAATAATCTGCTGGGGAAACAGGTTACATCCCTTTCTATGTGCTACTATTTTTTGGTATTTTCAAATATTTCTATAAACTGGGGTGGGTTTTTTTTATACTTTTACCTGGAAATTTCTGAATTGTAAAAGAACAGAGACGAATTGCTTAATTTTGCCTTAGGATTTTCACCAAAAAATTATCAAAACTATCAAAATACTACTGATACAAAAGTGAACTGAATTCATAGTTTTCAAAGAAAAAAAAACATCAAAAATGTTATTAATGTAACTATACTATCAAGAAGCAGATGCTTCTGTTGTAAGCATACCAGCATTTCTCATTACTTTCAATGTTCTGATACAGCATTTAACTCTGTTTAAATCATATTGTTCATCACAGTAATATTTCCAGCTGTAACTGCTTCTTGGCAAGAAGTCCTATGTTTAAAAGTCTGCAAAAGATGACTCTAGAGTTTACACCTTCAAATAATTATTTGATTCCTGTGGTTTCTGTACCAGTGAACCTGCTGTCTGACAGGATTTCTTGAGGCCCACACTCCCCTCATCTGAGAAAGAAACGGGCTGGACTCCACAGCCCCAGAGGCTCTGGCCAGCTCAGTCCTATCTCATTTGCACGCTTTCAGATGCACACAGAGCTTTCCAAAGCACCCCCAGCGCTGACTCAAAGATATCCAGAAAAAACATCCAGAACCCAGGATTGGTAACGGGGCCCCACCGAGGATTTCCATGAGAGAAGGGGCCACCAGTGCCGGTCTGCAGCAGCCCGGTGCACTGAGCACAGAGGCCAAAAATCACATCCTGACAGCAGGGCTGAGCCCAGCCAGGCCACTCACAGGCCATGCCAGCTGGGAGAAACACGCAAAGGACAGGCTGGAGAGGCATTTTACAACCACAACTGGGGGACATGAAGAAAAGAGGAGTACAGAGCGGCTCTGAGGTCTCTGTTACTGAGAATGTCTGAAAACACCTCCTAAACTGGAGTGATGCCTTCCTATGGGACAGGGCATGGGAAAAACCTACTGCACTGTTTACTTTCAGGGATATTCTAGACACAGACACCAAACAAAAACAAAGGATAAAAAAGAAAACATTTCTCATAAGCACATTTTCATGACGCCACTATATGTTTGACGGTACTATTTATTTAGCCATTCTGACAATGTCATTTAAAAAAATAATTGTTTTTCCAAAGTGAATTTAAAACTTCAAATTTGAAGCAATAAAAATCAGTTAACAGCATTTCAGAGCAATTAACAACTTCTCCTGGGCTTATGAAGAACGATATTAAAAAACACCACTTCTATTACTTTTCCACAAAGCAGTCTGATGACAGTTTAAAATGGAAAAATCTACTATTAAGTAATATGACTACTTTTAATTCAGTAACATTTTTAAAGCCTATAATAAAAATAAACCATCAAAGTACTGGATACTTACCTTCTTCAGAATTCACAGAAACTGTTACAAAAGATTGATTATCATCTTATTGTTAACTTTATAAAGCCATCAGTAAGTGGAGGCTTTAACATTTTAATTATTATGTTGAAAAACAGAAACATCTGTTTTACAGTATTAATTTGAAATAAACTTACCATGTCTTTTTATTCATTGTAAGCTCCATTATCATGCGCCTAAAAATAATCAAAACAGCTTTACAAGCATCGACTTGTTCTTTCAAAAGCATGGGAACTTCAGGACATGGTTCCAGCAAAAAGACGTTTGCTGCATTTGTTAAAAATACCTTGAAAACAACACATTTTACATGAGAAAATTAAAATTAAACATATAAATCTGAACAAATTTTTCTTAAAGATAATGGTATTAATTTCCTTCTACTGAGGGATCACCTTTGAGTTATTTCAATTAAGGCAAGTGGTACCAACACATACTCAAGATTTTTTTTAATTGATTCTCTTAGAATTACCTGAGATACCTGAAAGAGCTTTCTTAGAAAAAAAATTGATACATGTTAACATTGCAACTTCAGAAAATTCATGAATCAGAAAGCTTTTGAAGATTTCTTTTTGACACTCTTCAAGGGAAAAGGGAGAAAATATGGTAAGAAAGGCTCACTGCTTCTGGGTGAGAAATTTTGGGGTGGGGGACAGGGGAGAAGAAGAGCAGCGGTCTACACTGGATGGAAAAAAACATCTGATTATTGTTGAATCTCCCAGCACATGTAGTTTGCTGACACAAAGCACCACCGGCACCCAACAGGGGTGTAGATTCCTAGGGAACCTGGAAACAGGCAATGCCACATGATCAACACTGCACAGCTTCCATGAGCATATACTTTTAATAGGAGAACTATATTATGCAATAGAATATAAACCTAAGTGGATTTTTGGGATAAGACAGATTTTTAAAAATTTTGATAGTCAGCTGACTGCTCTATACTCTACCTCAGACCTTTAGGATACAAGTTCACTGTCCTCTACTGGCAGGGGCATTTCAGTGGAAAACTGAGAAGCCCGAATGTAGTCTGTTCTGTCCTTGTGCTCCAAGTGGGACACAGGGCAGGGACTCCTGCATGCACTTCTCTGGTGAGGGTATAGATTTTACTAATAACAGGCACCAAAGTTCTTCGAAACTAGTCAAGTAAAATCATCTTGATTTTAATTTCAGATTATTTGCTGATTTTCACTGAAAAACAAGAAAACTCAATAGTTACAGAGTATTAAACTGCTAATGAACCTGAATGCAAAAAGGATACCATGACAAAGAATCTTATCGAGAGACCGATGACAGATGTCACTGAAAACTGGGCAACAGGCAAGCCATCCAGGACTGGCTTCTGTGTGGGAGGCTAGAAAAGTGGATATGAGGTGGAGGGTGGGGCGCCAGGGAGCAGGGGAAAGAGCCACTCTGTTTTAGGCACTTACAATCCTAATAACCTTCAACCTAGATGGGAACCAATAGGTAATCAATTTCCCAATCCCCATTTTTGAGATAAAATCCTGAGGTCTGGGAAGATTAAGTGATCAGCCAAAAGTTCTTTCCAATGTTCCCAAATGGCACTGGTTCTATTTTATATGCCCATTCAGATAAATATTTTAAAATTAGAGCATTTATAATCATTATTCATAAACAGGCAGTTTTTAAGAATATTCCCTATAAGATCATATAATCATCATGCCTGTCTTGCAAATTTGAGTCCAGGTGACTAAATGCCCATATGTGTTCAGAAGATACTTTTCAAGATTTGGATCTCAGTCATTTCACATTCGATGCATAATAATCCCTCTCAGAAAACTGCAACCATCTCATAGGTCTCCTTTGACTAGAAAAAAAAATCTTTATAAATTGAAGGTGAGCAGTCAGGAAGAAAACTCAGAATGAGAACTTAAAAGCTATTTACTGACAGATCAAAATATCAACGTATTTTATATGACACGATCACAATAAAGAAAATGTTCAAATTGACTCCAATTGGAGGTCTTTGTGTCTCTGGCTGGCCACTACCTGCAGCATAGCCTGGGCTCCAGCTTTCACATTCTTATTTTCCTCTTCTGTCACACATCCTCTGCTCACTGCACTCGTGAAGGAGTATGTTCGTCCCCAACTGGAAGATCGCTTATGACGAGAACTTTCAGATGAAGTCTTTAGAATATAAAAATCAGTTAATGGAGGGGGGAAGTATATGTTTACATAGATAATTCCTTACACTCACCAAAATTCATTAAGAATATAGGTTTTAGGAGGGGGGTCTTCTTTCAATTTTGTTCACCACCTCCAGCACCTAAAATAGTACCTAGTGTTTAGTATGTGCTGAATAAACAAAGGTCCAATGACTGAATGAGTCTGTAACACAGACTTTTAAAATGTGTGATAAATTCCATCTGCTAATCTACTCATTTCGACCTCATGATTATAGAAATGATTTCACCAATATTAAAAAATCAAAATTATGGAATTAACACAAATATTTAAAAGTGGTTTGCCTTTGATTACAAATATTTTTAAATGTTTGTTAATTGCTGCAACAAACACCCATTTTTAGAAATAATTTCTCAGACTAGATTCAAAACAGCATGCCAGAAATATAACTATGACAGATATCTTTTGTTTCAGGAAGAGGTCCCAATGTGTTGTTTTAGATTTATCCAGCCTCCAGCTTTACCTCACCAGGACTGAAAGTTCCATTCCAACAGCACTCACTCTGAGGATACTGCCCACTCTGCAGTGAGGCTTTATTAATGGAGATAGCACTTGTTATTGGCGTAGTCCTTGCAAGTGTGTAACATCCTAACTGCTCTAGAACAGGCCACTACATAAGAATAGACTGCCAAAACATGCTAAATTTAGTTTCTCAAATGCTATTTATTTAAACATGTCAATCCTAAGATAGTGACATTTTCAGTCTCATACAGAGACGTGTAAAATACGATGGTTTATAAAACAACTCTTCTGCAACAGTGAATAATGAAGCTGCAATGCACATATGTACCTACCTTGAGGTTTAGGAGGTAACCAATGATCTTGAATAGAGCCCAGAAACAGCTTCACTGAAGCAGGTCCTCACAGAACTCAGCAACTTGAGAGCATCACATGATAAAAGAGACCCACCTGCCCATGTCCCACTGATTGGCACCCTTGACTGACCGTATACTTTGCTAAAATATGTGTACTCCCAACAGAAACAATTGATAACATACTACCTCTTTGTTGTCAGTTTCTGAAAATCCTAATTTTTCAGCATCTTCTTGTTCAATTTCTTTTTTATCTGGTTCTTCCATGAACACAGGTTTGTCCTGGAGGATCCACTTTCTATACACTTGAACTACCTTCCTTGTTACAGCTATGTCACAGGAAGGCAACAAAAATGCCTAAAATAAAAAGAGAAGGCTCCCTTGAACTCCACACCTGTTCACGTCACTATAGCAGACATATAACAGACATTTCCAATCACCATCACCAATTGCAGACTTTCCTCTGAAACATACAGGGCCAGACAGGTTTTGTGCACACCAAATTGTCTGAGGAAAAAAGGCATTTTCAGTTGGGCCAGGAAATGTCATGCAATTTAAAAATAACTTCTTCATTCTGAATGATTTTTTTTTTCACAAAAATAGCCGATGTGCACACCTATACACATACTTTAATTGGCTATATAAACAATAATAGTTTTACAACTAGGAATGAATTAGACGTGATCATGAATAAATTCAATGAATTAGAAAGTGATCATAAGACAAAAGACACAGTACTGCAGCCAGCTGCAGCCAGCTGTCCTGCCTCTTCCTAACTCCATGTTCAGGGATGTCATGCTGGTGACAGAGGGAGGATTTACCGCAGAAATTGGCAATGCTACCAATTGGAGCCTTTCTTATCTTTGTTTTATTTTTCCCTTTGTTTTTCTCTTCCTTCCTTTTTTCCCTCCCTCCCTTCCACCTTACCTTCCTTTTCGTAGAGCCAACATTCACCAGCACAGAAGTGAGTACAGACACCAACAATAAAGAGAGCCCCTGGCCAGCTGTAGCATTGTGCACATTTACATGAACTTTTGTTTTAAAGATTTTTAAAATTTATTGGAGAGAGAGAGAGAAAGAGAGAGAGAGAGAGAGAGAGAGAGAGAGAGAGAGAGAATATGTGTACAGCAGGGGAAGGGGCAGAGATCAAAGGAGAGGGAGAAGTAGACTTCAGCGCTGAGCACAGAGCCTGATATGGGGCTCAATGTAACAATACTGAGATCACAACTTGAGCCCAAACCAAGAGCCCAAACCTTAACCAAACCAAGAGCCCAAACCAAGAGCCCAAACCTTAACCAACTGAGCCACACAGGCACCTCATAAACTTTTTAACATTAAAGAAGGTCTTTACACATATGCACGTAAGAATTTTGATTTAATAAGATTCCAAAAATATAAACAAAAAGGTAAGGGAGAAATGTATTTGCCTTTTGAGTATCAGCTCTAAGGAATATTTCTGTCTGAGGGGTAAATACAAAGGAGAGGAACTCAATACTATAGCAAATGCTGTCATTCCACAGATGAGGAATTAAGACGAAGCTTAGCACACTTGAGATCTTTTTCAAGGTTCCAAAGTTAGTTAAGTAATGATTCTAGGTCTTGATCTCAAGGTTCAGAGATTTAATACTGTCCTTAATGTTCATACCACAGCATCCAATTACAGGCAGATTTCAGTATAACAAGGGTTCACACAATATACAAATTTCCATTGATGGTGGTCATGTCACATTGAATTCCACAATAGAGGAGTCTGTGTTCTAGCAAGACTGCAACGTATCAATGTAACAAATATTCTGACTTGTATCTCAAAGAAGATCAACAAAGACAAGAAGGGTATGACAAAGTACAGTGGTGTCCCACTCTGATTTTATTCCAAATTTTATTACAAATACTCTCACACTTACAAAAAAGTAGAAATACTTTTATAGTGCATATTCACATACCACCCCCTAGATTCTACGATTAGCATTTGCTAGATTTGCTTTACCATATATCTGTCAATCCACCCCTATTTAGCCTTGTTTCAATCCATTTTATTTTTGATGCATTTCAAAGAAATTTGATGCAGACATCAGTACATTTCACACCTAATTATTTCATACCTAATGCATATCACTGACTAGAGTTCAAAATTTTTTATAGTACTTAACATAAAATTTATAAATAATGAAATGCACAAATCTTAAGTGGACTCATCTCATGATGAGTTTTGACAAAATCTAGACAATGAGGTAACTCAAATCCAAAATCAAGGTATATCATGTTACCCTCCTCCCAGGTAGCAAACAATTTTTCTCTGTAGGAAAATAAAATCATAGTAAAACACAAATTATTTGTATGAACTGTCTGATTAATATGTAGCATATTAATTTAAAAATCAGAAATAAAAAAATAAAAATCAGAAATATGAGAAAAGAGTCAATATTAACAAAATCACAGTGAAAACCAGACAATACTTTAAACACATAGATCAGGATAAAGAAAATTTCAAAAAGAAATGTAAATGGAATTGAAAAATAACCAAAATTAAAAATTCAGTGTTTATGGGTTGACAACAGAAAGGACATGGCTGAAAACTGGATGAAAAATCAAAAGGAAACACCCAGACTGAAGCACAGTGAGATGAAAGGATGGTTAATTCAGAAGGGAAGGCAAGAGACAGAACAAAATGAAAAGCTTATGCTATGCATGGCTGCAGATGCACAAGGAAAGAAGATTAGCAAAAGGGGGCAGAAATAGTATTTGGGGAAAGAATAGCTGAGAATTTTGCCAAAATTGGTAAAAGATATCAATCCACAGGTTCAAGAATCACAAACACAAGCAGGGTAAATACAGAGTACATTACAGTAAAACTGCTAAAAACCAAGAACAATCAGAAAATCTTAAAAGCTTCCAAAGGAAAAAAGAGACATTTCCTCCAAAGGAAATGACCTCACATGACTTCTCAAAGAAACAATGGAACAAATATTCAATGTGCAGAGAGAAAACAGCTGCCCATGTAGAATTCAGTATCCAGACAAAATGCACTTGAAAAAAGAAAGCAAAATAGAGAAATTTTCAGATAAAAAAAGAAAAACCACGAGAAAATCTTTTACCAGGTGATCTGATCTAGGGGAAATACTAAAAGTTGTTCTTTAGGCAGAAAGAAAATAATCCTGGATTAGATATTCAGGAAGAAATACAATAAAAGTAATTATTTGGATAAATCTAAATTAATAAAATGTATATATGAATATATATGAATACTAAGAATAAAACTTGATAAAATAATAGTTCTGAAAGAGATGATATATGTATATATATATATATAAATAATACATATTATATATATATTCATACTATGGATTTTAAATATAGACGGTCCTCAACTAGGAGAGCTATATTAATGGTCCAACTTAGAATTTTTTAACATTACGACATTACGAAAGTAATGCATATTCAGTAGAAACTGTACTTTCAATTTTGAATTTTGATCTTTCCCTGAGCTAGGGATATGAGAGTATGACACTCATGTTGAGGGGCAGTGGCAGTGGCTACAGCTCCCTGTCATCCCTGGGATCACAAGGATAAACAACTGATAGACTTACAACCATTTTATACCCATATAACCACTCTGTTTTTCACTTCCACTATGGTATTCAATAAGTTACATGAGATATTTAAGACTATTATAAGCTAGGCTTTATGTCAGATGACTTTGCCCAATGAAGGTTAAAGTAAGTGTTCTGAGCATGTTCAAGGTAGGTGAGGTTAAGCCATGATGTTTGGTAGGTGTATTAAATGCATTTTTGACTTATGATATTTTCAACTTATGATGGGTTTATCAGGACGTAACTGCATCATGAGTTGAGGAAAATCTGTACATAGCAGGGGCATATGAACTGAGAAGGAATAAATGGAACTAGAGTGCATACTTACAGGGTGAAAGTTGAAATTAATGCTAGATTTTAAGTTAGGGGTGTTAACAATTAAAATATGACAGATGAGTGTAAAATACTAAACTAGAGAAGAAAAATGGTATGCTAAAAATAGCCAGCTTGAGAGAATTCAAGATAACTAGAAAGATAGTAAACTTAAACACAATTACAGTACTTGTTATGCCAAATGTAAAGGGAATAATTCTCCAATCAAAAGACAGAAAATTTAAGGTTTGATTTTAAAGACTATTAAAAAGACCGTATGCCATTTATAAGAGAACATCCAAAACATATGGGTATGGGAAGATTAAAAGTAAAAAGTTAGAAAGTGATATATACCATGCAAACACTAACCAAAAGAAAACTGGTAGAGCTATATTAAGAATAGGGAAGACTGAGGCAAAAACAAACAAACAAACAAAAAAAAAAAACCAAAACACCATACTAAAGATAAAGAGGAAAAATTCTTACTGATGATTCAATTCAAAGGACATAGAACATTTGTGAATCTGTACTGAAACTAAAAATTATAAAATATATATATTTTATATATATTATGTTTATGTATGTGTACATATCAAATACTGATAGACTTTAAAAAGAGAATAGACCAATCCATAGTCATAGCAGAATAGTCTCAGTAACTTGCAGAACAACAGACAAAAAATAATGATAGAGAATAGAACACATGCTTCCTACCTTCTCACTGTATTTATTCTCCATGTCTCAATCTCTCATATTTTTCATCTTTGTCTCTCTGAGGGACCCTCAGGATAATTTCTTCAGATCTGTCATCCCATTTATTCTGTCCTCTGCTGTACCTAATCTGCTATTAAAGTTATCATTGAGGTTTTCCTTTACTATTTCAATTATTAAATTTTTTTCATTTCTAGAAGTACTATCTTTTTATTATTTACATCTGCTTAGTCATGTGTTACAATTTCTTGTTTCCTGGAAACATTTTCAAGCTTGTCTTTTATTACTTTAAACATTTTGAAGGTATCCATACTGAAAGCTCTATAAGTTTTAACTTCCTAATTGGAAGAAAGAATGACTTGAAATTATTATATCCAGCTAAACTGCTGTTCATGTGGAAAGGCAAAAGGAAAATATTCCTCATCATAAAGGAACTCAGGGACTAGAGCCTCAAGACACCTACTTGAAAACACCCACTCGAGGATAAAATAAGGCCATCCAAGAAGTCCATTAAAGCAAGCATGTTAGGACTGAGGACAGTGAGGAAAGCATCTTTCTACATTCAGAACCAATACTAACCAACTCTGCACATTAGGATTTCAAAACTGACTGCAAATAATGGTAAATTTAGGCTATAAATTTATTATAGAATAAAATAAGTGGATGGGGAGAGGAGGCTTACAAGGCTGATAATTTCTTCAGATTTGTTAAGAAATTAGTAAGTGCTATCTAAAATTATACCATGGGGCTAAAAAGTGTTTCCATCACCTTAATGTGATTATAATCTTCTCATTATAGATAAAACTTTCGGATGTTAATATTTCCTGTGATAAAGGAATGTTTATTTGAATTTCGAGAATTCTGTTTCACTTTATTTTCTTTTCTTCTGTTAAATTCAAATAAAATAAAATTCAGAGCTCTTCATTAAAAATGCACTAAAGAAAAAAAATGCACGAATCCACTGTCAGTCCCTCATCCTTACCCTAGCACTTCCATATACCCGCCCCTTGCCACTGCCTTCACCTCAACCTGTCTGGTTTTACGTCTACCCATCCATGGCTGGCTGGCTGCCTGTCCGCCTATAACTGTAGGCCAAATTCTCTGTCTGCTTATCTGTCTGCACCTACATACCTGTCCATCTACACCTCCCTACTCACTTCCACCTCTGCCAGCTGGCCTGTTTACACCCACCTGTCTGATGTTCCATGCCTGCCTGCCAGTTTGTTTTTGTCTATCAGCTCATCTGTAAGCCCTACTGTCTGTCTGCCAGGCCGCTCCCTGTTTATATCCTGCCTTACCCACCCTCCACTCTGCCAGTCTCTTATCTGCTCATCTAGCTAGCCAGGCCAGCACCAAATATACATACATAGAAATACCTGGAATGATATTCTCCTAACATCGATAGTGGTTGTGTAACAGTAGTATTTTGAGTGATTTGCTTGAGACTGTGTTTACCTAATGAGTACTTTAAAAAAATATATATAACATTATTCTTTAAAACAAAACCAACAACAAACAAAACAACCTAATCAACAACTAATGCTCAGAGCAGTATTTTGAACATTTCAGACTCATAACCTAAGTAAGATGTTTTACAGAAGCATATACACATCTGTATACAGATTATACATAAATAAATGTTTTAGAAGTTTCACAAAGAAATGCTAATCCTTACAACATACAGTGCACTCTGAAATGTTTTGGTCTATTCTATTTTATTCTATTCAATTATTTTTTTTAAATACTGGCTTTTGATAAGTTGATTTCATGACCTATAACAGGTACTTAGAAAAACACTGGTAAGAAGCCAAGTTTCCAACAGGGCAACCCCGAGACCAAAACTGCCCCACCTGAAGCCTCTAGCACTCACTGCTAACCTGCGTGCTGATGGCAGCAGTAAGCTGAGGCTGCCCTAAGCGCCACTGAACCTCATATCCCCTCAGTTATTTCCACTGCCTGCAACTGACTGGGCCATCCAGTCCAAGGAGACTTGCATGGTCAGCCCCTGTCATGAGCCTCTCTGCCCCTGGGGCCCCTCATCAGCATTCATTCCCACATCACACACATGGACATCTCATCTTCTGCCATCATGTTCCGCTCTCTGGTGCATACACACACATCTTACCTCTTCACTGAGAATATGCACTTATGCAATGTACATTTTAAACTTTAATTGCCTTTAGGCCTAAATAACAAATAGTCTCTGAATACTTTATAATCAAAAAAGAAATCACTAGAAATTACGTTTTGCCATCCAGAAAATAAAAATTCCTCATTGACCACAAGAGGGCAATAGAACGCAATGTTAAAATCCATGCCCCTTCAAGCCTCTAGAGTTTTAACATACCCCCAAAAAACATACCCAACATTCATATTTTAAATATTACATATATGCTTTCAAATTAGATTTGATGAAAAATAAAGATAAAATTTAAGTAAAATGTTTTTTGGCTTCACAGTGCAAAGATGTCTAAGAAGTTCAGTCATAAGTAGTCTGTAGTTACCTACATGACCCAAGCTACTTCAGAACAGAATTTAGATTGGATTTAGGACTAAATGGAATGCAGAATATAGAGCATGCTCTTGGCAAGGGTGCAATGCAATAATGGATACAGACAGAACTGTTAGTATGATAAATTAACAATTTACACAATAAAGGTAAAACCACATCAATCTAGCATGTATCTCTTGTGCAAAATTCATAAGCTTTGTCAGTCATATCTAGTCTTGTAGTAGGCACTGGCATAAAGAATTTAAAACACTACTACAGGGGATCCCTAGGTGGCTCAGTGGTTTAGCGCCTGCCTTCCGCCCAGGGCATGGTCCTGGAATCCCGGGATTGAGTCCTACACCAGGCTCCCTGTGTCTCTGCCTCCCTGTGTGTGTGTCTCTCATGAATAAATAAATAACATCTTTAAAAATTAAAAAAAAAAAAAACACTGCTACAGATCAGGGTCTGAAAACTATGGCATATCATCCAAATCCAGCCTGCCAGGTGATTTTCAAAAATAAAGTTCTTTAGGAACACAGCCATGTTTCTTTGTTACATGCTGTGTCCATGGCTGCTTTCTCATTATGAAGGCAGAGCTGAGTAACTGCAAGAGAGCCCACGTGATCAACAAGGCCTGAAATATTATCTGGTCCTTTACTCTATGAAGTATATATGGCCTCTACTTTCAATTATATGCCCTCTAAGACCTTGATGATTTCAACTCAAATTAAATGGTACCAAGTACCTTCCATGTATACAACAGGAACACAATAGGGCAACATTAATGGAGAGAATAGGGTAGATTTTTAAATCATGGACTCTTTCGATAAACGAATGTTTGGCAGCATGACATATACAGTATAGTTCATAAAGAGATGACACAGGTGTGGGGCTCCAGGGAGCATGCTGCTAACCATGGTCAAAGGAAAAGGAAGGAATGGGAGTAAGAAAACCACCACATGACTTGCCCAGTGATTGCTCATAGGAGGAATAGGAGATGAGGAGCACAGGAGGGCTAAAATTAATATGCACATAAGAACATGAGTATCATTAAAGAAGTGGTCAAGTCAGGAGAAGAAGCTGATGTTAGAGAAGAAAATAAGCTAAGCTTTGGCCTCATTACCCTTAGGTTACCACTATAATGTGAGATAAGATCAAGTGGGCATTTTAAAAGGCAAGTATGGAAGCAAGGTCTGGACAAAAGGCTTGAGTGGGAGTCTTATGCCACAGTGACTCCTGGCTCTGCACAAGCAGTTGATATCCCTAAGGAGGCAAGTGTGGAGTTACAAAAAAGGCTCAAGTCCAGAATATTGGTCAACCCTTGGAATTTGGGGTTAACAAAAAAAAGGGGGGCCAAGAAATGAGACAGAGGGGTGCCTCGGTAGCTCAGTTGGCTAAGCATCTGCTTTTGCCTCAGGTCATGATCCCAGGGTCCTGGGATAGAGTCCCATGATGTTGGTATCAGGCCTCCTGCTCAGTGGGGAGTCTGCTTCTCCCTTTCTCTCTCCCTCCCCAGCTCTCTCTCTCAAATAAATATGTTTTTTTTTTTTAATGAGACAGAGAAGACACAGAGATTGAGAAGAACTAAAGCAGTGCTAAGACACAGAACCAGAAAAATAAGGAGAATTTTCATTGAAGCTTAAACTATTTTAAGCCAAACACTTTTACTCATTAAAATATGGTAAAACCTCCAGTTTGCTATGGATTATGCTGGGACTCTGATTCTTGGTTGATTTTTCTTTAAAGTCTCAGAAATGAGAGAGCTAATCACTATCTAGAAGTCTTACACACACACCATTCATTTGCGTACAGGACTCCTTGTTGTCTCCTCTCAGACCACGGGTCTCTGCTAGTCGAGGGCCTCAACCTCTGTGCTCACGTGTGGACTAAGCTATTTCCCCCAAATAGGCACATGCTCACAAAAGAGCCAGGCTCTGCTTCCCAGGGCACAAGTACCAAGATGCAGATGGCCAGTGGCTCCACCCCACACCACAGAGCTACTATTCTCTCCACTGCACTTTGGGTTCTGCTTCCTCGATCAGTTTCTTCACAGCAGCACTACTGACATTTGGGGCCTGATGTTCCTTGTCATGGGGTAGTAGAGGCTCTGTCCTATGCCTGTAGGATAATCACTGGCTCCTACCTACTAGATGCCAGTACCACTGCCCTCTCCCCAGGTGTGACAACCAAAAATGTCTTCAGACAATGCCCAATGTCCCCTGGGGGGCAGAGCCAGCCCCAGTGTCACTCGGAGCTTCTAATCATTGCCCGGCCTCTGATCTCTGCAGTCTTCTTCCTCACTTGCACCTACTTTCTTGTTTGCACTTCCCCTCCCTTTACACCACCATTGGTTGTCCATCATTGGTTGCTATATCAGCATCTTGGCCTAAGCCCTTGCTTTCTTTTTTTAAAATTATTTACATACAGTAAATATACAGTACATTACTGCCAACATACGGTATAACACCCAGTGCTCATCTCATCAAGTACCCTTAGTGCCCATTCACCCAGTTGCCCTGTCTCCCTACCCCCCTCCCCTTCTGCAATGCTTTGTTTTCCAGAGTTAGGAGTCTCTCATGGTTTGTCTCCTCAAATTTTTCCCCACTCAGTTTCCTTCCTTTCCCTTATGATCCCTTTCACTATTTCTTATATTCCACGTATAAGTGAAACCATATGGCAATTGTCTTTCTCCTATTGACTTATTTCACTCATCATAATACCCTCCAGTTCCAGCCCATCGATGTAAATAGTAGGCAGTCATCCTTTCTGATGGCTGAATCTTATGTCATAAATACTTCTATCTCACCTGCATGCCATGTGTGTTTGCAGGGAAAGTACAATCATTTGCAGAAACCTCCAGAGAGCTGCATAGGGCTCTTGGAACACCACTAGTCTGGGGCTCCTCTTTGCAATATTCATCTGTTGATTAGTATTCAGCAAGTGCTTTCTAAGGGCTTTCTTCCCACCTACTCCTGGGTTTCAAGTTTCTTATGGAAACATGACAGTATTTGTGGGATGATCTGCTCATGTAACAAATTTCTTCTCCATGTGTAGGAATTTTACAAAAACAAAATTTTTAAAAATCATAAAAGAAAAAAAATTGCAACACTCCACATAAAAGCATGATTAGAGGGATAATTCAGTCCTGTAATGTAGCCCAATTCATCAATAGTATTTCTTGCAGGACTATGAGCAAAAGAACAAAGTTCTCTTCAATTGCATGAACTTACACAAACAAACTAACCTGGCGAAAGACTTCATTCACAAAGTTGACATAACCTCGCGTTGACAAGAGAATCCGCTGTACCATTTCATACACAGTGCGGTGCTCTTCCTCAATGCTACAAAGGCTGGAGTTGCTGAGTCTTCGGTCGGATAAGGTGCTGCTGTTGGAATGGTTTTTGTCCTGCTCTGCAGGCCGGCCACCATCCAGCTCCGGCGCCCTCTCTTGACCCACACCACCACCAACAGTCTGGAAGAAAGTCAGGACCACCTCTGAGTGAGCCTCTTCGACACTCAAGAGCGCCTAGTGAAACTGAAGGTTTGCTTTATGTAAAAGAACTCTGATTACTATCAACTTCAAGGCCAGCTAGACACCAGCCCTGCTTAAAGCACAAGGGGCTCCAGAACCTGTACTTACCAGTTTTCCAATTCACCAGCTCAGTTACTTTAACAGGAAAATACTAAATTATTGCTTGAAGGGAGGCTGTGAAATTTTATCAACCTAGAAACTTTAACTTACATTTGCAAAATCATAGAACAAATTGTGTTAATGAATTTATACTATGATCACCTTTGGGCTCTAAATTCAGCACTTACTCTATGGTCACAGAGATTTGAAAGTTCAGTGCATTTTTTGTGGCCACAATATTGGAAAGCATCATTTGATTCACAAGACTTAGTGACACCTGATGAAAGAGTGTCTTGATCTTTAGAGGGTATTTTGTGAGAAGAATCTTGATCTGAATTTTATATTCAGAATCTCAAACTTAACTGAAATATTTACCAAATTTTAAATATTTAGAAGTCTTTAAGAGCACAAAGAAATAATTCATGTGATGACTCACAAATTTTAATATGGATTTCCGCTCTCATCTATCTACCCATAGAATTAAAGGTTTCCTGCAAATATAATACATGTATAATTTTGCTTCGTTTTTGCAAATGCCACTATTATTTAAGTGTCAAAAAAGTATAATCCAAATACCATTAAAATTCTACCCACTGTGAATATTTTTTACAAAAAAATGGTAAGATATGAGAGGTGCAAAATAGTAATTTCAGTAACTACCAAGGACAGTTTGAAAGCAGATACCCAAATAGCAATCTCTAGGGAAAATTAATGGAAGATTATATTTATAATAATTTTTCTCTTCATGCCTTAGCTATTAAGTCTGTGTGGCTTATCAAAGGCACTGTCATACTGTGAGATGAGTTGTCCTATAGAAATTATTTCATCCTTTTGATGCATCAACTATCTTCCATAGAAAAATAAAATTTTACTCATTTTACTGATATATATATATATATATATATATATATATATATATTTAATATGTAAGGCATAGAGGTTAGATTAAGTCTAATGTCTCTTGTGGCTCAATAACCTATGACTTTTTTTATCAGTAACTCCCATCTTCCCCACAGGCCAAAAAAAAAAAAACCCATGTACATACTAAGCAAATCAAAAATGATCACAAATTCTATGACCCTCCTCTTCCCTTTGACCCACATGGAATACAGTGGAAGAGACCTGTGCCAGTTCCAGGCCCAGCTCCAAGAAGCTGACAGTTACTACTTCCCATCTCTGGGAACCTTTGCTATTGGAGCTCTGAGCAGCCAAGGAAGAAGTCCAATAACCCTGCTACAGAGACTGCATGGAAGGGGAGGCCCAGATGCACCCATTAAAGTAACAGGAATCTGAATAAAGTCATCCAGAGCCCTCTAGACCAACTAGCCTTGAACTAAAGACCACCACCCCCTGACCTCAGGTAATGCCGTATGAAGCACAAGAATTGCCCAACCAGATCTTGCCCAAATTTCTGATCCAAAGAGTATAATGTGTAATATGACAAAAGGGTTGTTTTAAGCCACCAAGTTTTGAAGTCATTAGATAACTAATTGGGTAACATAGCAATTAGGTAGCTAAAACAATGTTAAGTAAAGAGGTATGTTTATGGGTTTTAATGTCAATTAATGTTTATATAGAACTGGTAAAAAAAAAAAAAGGTCACTGTTGAAATTTTAAAATCACCACTCTGTTTCTCTAAAGTGGGTTGAGGTACTTTTATTTCATACAAAAATGAATTACTAAGGACTAAATAATACTTCACGAAAACATTTTCAGCTGAAATGATACACCAAGAACAGTTTTGCTCAGGTTGATGCTGTTGTCAACACAGTATATGGGATGTAAGAGCAACTGTATTTTCATTCTCCCATGAATATCTGTTATACCAGATTCTCCAAGTAGTAAGAAACTTTAGCCTAGAAGATATATTAATTCCTCTCCTCCCTGGTGAAAAATACTGTTGAAGGTATTAATTAGTTTTAGATCCAGAGGCAAATTCACTTTGGAAAAAAACACACCAAAAAATCCTCAAACATGATCTTTAAAATAATATTGGCAAAAGTGTAAACTCTATTTGGAAATAGCACTTAAAATATTGTTTTGAAGGGCTTTTACAAGAGCAATAAATCCTTTGAAAAGAGATTTTTGAATCAATTGACTTATAATATTCACTTTAAATAGGCAAAATTATATTAAATTTGAGATTACAAATAAAAACTTTCAGGAGGCAGGGATGCCTGGGTGGCTTAGCGGTTGAGCACCTGCCCCTGGCTGAGGGTGTAATCTCGCCGTCTCAGGATCAAGTCCCACATCAGGCTCGCTGCCTGGAGCCTGCTCTGCCTATCTCTCTGCCTTTCTCTCTGTGTCTTTTATGAATAAATAAATAAAATCTTAAAAAAAAAAAAACTTTCAGGAGACAAATGAAATTATATGTGCTTTTATTCCTGCAACTCAGTCTCCAAAATGTAATATTCAATTGTTTAAATTGCTTTTTCTCATGCACAATGAAGATGAAGAGAGGAATGCAGCAAACACATGTGAGATGAGATGGGAAACACAGCCATAAGGCATGGAAGGGAGCACAGGAGGCAACTGGTCAGCTGAATAACGACGCCCCCCACCCCAAAGATGTCCATGCCTTAATCCCCAGAACCTCTGAGTATCTTACCTTACTTGGCAAATGGGATTTAGCAGGTGTGATTAAATTAAGGTGTGAGAGGGAAAGATAATCCTGGATTATCTGGGTGGTCCAAGTGTAATGACAAAGATCCATAAGGAGAAAGGAGGACCAGATATAGAAGGCAATGTGTGGATGGAAACAGGGAGGAAAGGTGACGTGATGAAGAGCCACAAGCCAGGGAATGGATTCTCCTCTAGAGCCTCCAAAAGGAATACAGACCTGCCAACACCTTGATTTTATCACACTGACAGTGATTTTGGACTTCTAACTTCCAGAACTATAGGATAATAAATTTCTGTTGTTTCAAGCCACTGAAAGTTTGTGATTTGCTACAGTGGCACTATAAAACTACTATAACAACTCACTGTGAGGCATACTAAGAGTCTAAACAATGGCAGCAACCATTTTTAGGCAAGGCCATCTGTAGGGTGGTAGCCCTGGGCCTGGACAGCTGTCTGCCCAGCATCCATTCCCCCACCCCAATGGAACCCCAATGCTCCCTGTGCCTCCTCCCCTGCAGCCCAGGTGATTCACAGGAAGCTGGCCCTATCCACAGTACCAACAAAGTGTTCTGTTTCTTGGAAGCCAGTTATGTGCCTCCTGGGTCATAGCCAGCTGTAAGTCGGTCAGTGCCTTGTTACTGTTCCAGAAGGTAACCTAGATTGTCCCAGACAAAAGGGAAGGGCTTTGTATTTCTGGGTTGTCTCTGAACATGAACAAGGAAGGCAGTGCCCCAGCTGTTGGCAGCCATGTTATATTTGGCAGGGAAGCCAAAAACAAACTTGCCAGAGGGAAAGGGCAGAGTAGGGAAAAGTGTAGCAAATCATGGAGAGTGTGAATAAACCATATGCGCTGCCAGCCCTGCCATGAGCTCCTTCTTTATGAGATTAAAATACTTCTTTTTTTATCTTTAAGACAGTTTGAGTTACAGAGTTTTTTTCTGTTAGGATGATACAACCATCAGAACTGATTCAGAAGGTCAGACTTTTATAACACTAAGAAAATCAGATAATAAAAGTAGAAGACCAACTAAGGAAAAAAACTAGAATCTTGAATCAGTGGTTAGTTTGCTATTCTTGCCACTTCTCATCATCCAAATGTATTTTTCAAGAATGAGAAACTTACTTTCAATAAATATAGTGACAGTTTTCTGAAATTTTGAAACCAGGTAGGAAGAAGTCATAGCCTTTAAATAGACTGTTTTGAATGTCTTAACATCCACACAAGACACAATGTAAAATTTATCAAAGAGTGTGACTGAGTTTCTTCTATGTGATTTCATACAAATTTTTGTCTACCTGATGATTTTTAGTTTTTGTTTATCTGATGGGTGAATAAAGGTCTCTCAACATGGCCCAGAATCAATAGTGTTCCCTGGCTCATAGTGAAATCCAGGGCCATTTTTATTTCCTTTTCTGTGAACTTGTCTTTCATCTCCTTTTGTCTGTTTTTCAATTGGACTGTTTGTCTTATCAATTTGTAGGCCCTCTCTACATACCAGAAGCATGAACTCCTTTAACAGCTTTGATGTTATAGATGCTTTTCACAGTCTGTTGCCTGCATGTGGCTTTACTCGATCTTTTTACGTAAAAATTTTTTCAAAATTTTAAAATGAAGTGGAATCTCATTTCTTCTATGGCTTGTGGCTCTTATCCCTACCACTTCCCAAACTTATACCTTCCCCTATACCTTTAGATTATTTCCTAAATTCTTTATCATTTTGTTTTTATATCTAGGCCTTAAATCAATCTGACATCTGCTTCCATATGTAGCATGAAGTAAGGTTCTGAAAAAGAGAGAGAAAGACCCATCAACAATTCTTTTAGCTCTCAGGGTTATAGATTAGATTTGATATTCAATGCTACTCTGTCCCATTTTCTAGAGGGAACTTGTAGTTTCTGTCTGGAACTTTGATAATTTCTTCTGAATCCCTGAAAGTCAAATAGGTTTATGTCTGTTCAGGTTTTTTGTCTGTTTAGCTAATTCTTCCTGGGACTTGAAGGCCTTTTTAGTCTAAGGCATGACTTTTTTTGCTGAAAGAAAGTAAATTTTGCATTAGTTTAATTTCACATCTGATTTTTTCTCCTTTTGCCTTCATGATACTTGGAAGGTGGATCTGGACCTGACCTCTGCTCTTATTTATTCATTTCTGATTTCTAGCGCTTTGAATTTTTTCTCAGTGTTGTGGGATATTCCTTTGGAAAATCAGTTTTGTTCTTGGCAGTGATCATTACCATCTCCATTTTACCTATTAAAATCTTAAACTAACGAACTTAAGGTTTTTTAAAAGATTTTTAAAGATTTTTAAAATGTATTTGACAGAAAGAAAGAACACCCTTGATCAAGCACAAGCAGGGGGAGTGGCAGACAGAGGGAGAAACAAGCTCCCTGCTGAGCAGGAAGCCCGATGAAGGGCTCAGTCTCAGGGCCCTGGGATCATGACCTGAGCCAAAGGCAGATGCTTAACCGACTGAGCCACCTAGGCACCCCAAAGCTTTCTTTTAAAACCTTCAGTAAGTCTTTTGTTGCTCTTACTACAATTGTATCCCCCTCAGATTTCTTTGAAAGTAAGTTTCTTTAGTTAGTTCTTTTTTTTTTTTTAATTTTTTATTTATGATAGTCACAGAGAGAGAGAGAGGCAGAGACATAGGCGGAGAGAAGCAGGCTCCATGCACCGGGAGCCCGATGTGGGATTCGATCCCGGGTCTCCAGGATCACGCCCTGGGCCAAAGGCAGGCGCCAAACCGCTGCGCCACCCAGGGATCCCTCTTTAGTTAGTTCTTATCAATGAGGCCATGTGCTCTGGACCTGCTTGGTGCTCCCAGGCTAATTGTCACTCAGGTGTGTGTACTCTTGAGCTCAGGCCTAGTCATGCTCTGGGAACTCCAGGGCATCAGCAAACCTGCTGTGAGTGGACCACATTTTCTGCATAAAACCATGTCCTTTGCCATGAAGCACTTGCTCTCAAACTTCCCCAAGTGCTCCTGTTCTATGCAGTGCAAACTCCCTAAGCAACTCAGCCTGTTGGGAAAGCCCCATTTGTCTGTGACCAAGGCCCAAAAGAGAGGGAAGATACACCATCGGCCCCACACAGAAAGAGGTCTTTACTGAAGACCTCAGAGAGAGACAACCTTCTTTTCTCGGGATTCCATCATGGCACCCCAAAATCCTGAGATGCTCTTCTACTCCTTCCCCTGAGATCTCAAGAGGGCACTTGGCAGTCTCACAGGCCCTTCCCATGGCCCACCTGCATGACTCCTGAGGGCCTTCTTAGTGCTGGGGATTGGTAACAGCAACACAGGTCCCTGGTCTTATGCTCCGAGGTCACTGGTACTTGAGCAAAAGGGGGAAAATGAGAGGAAGCCAGGAGTGTGTGCACGACAGCCATCTTCTCAGAATGTCTCCTTAGTCCCCAAGATTGCCTTGTCATGGCAATGTCAACCGAGCACTGCAAGTGCTACTACCTCAGAGCTCTCTCTGATACTTCAGCAATACAGACAGAGCCCACCAATAAAACCAATCCCTGTAACTAACATCCTTTAAGAACCAAAAACCCAAAAAATTACTTTGGTATGTGTTAGTGAACTTTTACCTAAGTAAAAGATAAGAAGATGAATGACATACCTGTATAATTTTGGGTTGTACATCAACTCCATTTTTAGTGTTTTGTGTTGTAGTTAGATACTTTTTTTCCAAAAAGAAAGTTACAATCCATTTAATAAAAACAACACGAGCTGCCATGTATGGAATTTTTGTACTGTAAATGTTTTCACTGTCTCGAGTTGTAGTAATATACACTGGCTTTGGTCTCAAATGGGGGATGTCTGGAAGAAAAGAGAACATATGATTAGGATAGTGAGTGTAACCCCCACAAATGGCACAACTGGTTCAGTTTCTAACTAAGCAGATATATAATTGGTGTCTGAATAGCAAAATTAAAGAGCCAGAAATTATTTAAAATGACATCTTTTGGTAGACGTGCTTCTTTCTGATTCTGCCTTGCAATCTGACCAATATGGGACAGTGACTACTGTTACTGTTTGTTATAACTATGGCATACAGCTATGGAAGTACTCAGATAATAACTCTTTTTAACAAATTTGAGAAATGATATGAGATCATAATAAAAATCTTTTCACATACATTATAATTAAATTAATCTTGTTTTATGGCTGAAACAAATCTAAAAGCATCTTTGGACATTTTTCATCATTTAAGCTATTTTATTATTTTAATCATTTTAGGTATTTTAACATCCAATACTTCACGAATCAAATCCATGGGACTTTAGTTTTATATCCTCTTCCCTTTAGATGAATCCAAAGAATAGAATCAGTATAATCTACTTTATGTCTGAAAGAATTCATCTTTGAGGTATCAGATACCACCATTTTCAAAGAATTAATAAGAAGTCCCTTTCTCATTCTTTAAATTCCATAATCAATACCAAAAAAAATACACAGTACTGGATTTGAGAACATGCAACTTGCTGCATGTTCACCTCTCTTACTAACATTTTACATACCTGGAGGTACTTACATGAGGCAGACAAGATCTCAACAAATAACTTTTAATTTCAGCATATTAAAGTATACTGTGTTTTTCACAGTGAATATAGACTATAAAATCAGAAACAAATTCTGAAAAAAATATCTACATATATATAGCTAACAAAATACATATCTATCCCAGTACCTCTAAAGGTTAGTATTTCTACATCTTTCAAAATGCACCAAGCTTCTGCTGTTTCCCCCTTATCCAAACACGCATGTGTGTGTGTGTGTGTGTGCGTGTTTACGTGTATAAATACCCAAAGACAAATTAGTCCACATTCCCCAGATGGATTAATGTCTGTTGTGACCTCTTCCCCTCCAAAATTGTTCCTGATTATTCATTTTAACTAATTTCACTACTTTAAAATAATGAGAGGAAAATTTGCCTTCTCCACCCCCACTCCTCTGCCACCAATCTAAGGGGTATGAGCCTTCATTTTTCGTACAAGAAAAACTTTAGCTAAATTAGAAATTCCATTATGTTTCCTTCCTTTCTGAGGCTTACTGTCCATAGGTTGCCCAGTTGCCCAAACATCAGCATCTGTTGGATGAAAGATCCAGTATAAAAGAAAGGGCCTACTGTGGGCAGCTATGTGACCTAGGCTGGCCTGCCTCGCCACTGAGCAAGGTCTGGAGTCATCACACCCTACCATTCATAAGAGGAAATGCAAGTTTTATTTTAACATTAAAAGATTTTAAATATTACTACACCAAAAAATCATGACACATGTCATTTTTTTTCTGATTACAGAAGCCACAGTTCCCCTTTATCGCTATAAGTTGAGGTACCCCTTAGTCTGTACAAATAGGTAAAGTCATCTATTAGGAAATAATTTATTAGGAAACCTTAAACCTCCTACAATAATGTTACCATTAAATTTAGGAATAAAATGACTATTTTACTTAAAAATCAAAGGTCACTTTGAAAGAGACTGGACAGCTTCCCTGTGGACATCCTCTAGACATTGTGCAATCAGTACTTACCAAGTATGGGTTTGTAGATGTTTGTTAACTTAGTAAATGATGGAAATAAATGAGGAAGATAATACTTTCGAAACAAAGTAAAAAGAAATTTAAAACCAGTATCTTGATTCTCCTTATTCTTCCACTCCAAGCTTGCAGCCTTTGGATAATATGTGGGAAAGAACATATGTACATTTACATTTCAACTTAATGTACACTAAACTGAAATGCTGTTATCTTATTAAAATTCCTACCCTAAATTAAAAAAAAAAACTTGACCAAGTTAACAATCACATAATGAAATCATGTCTTAAAAATCAAATGATGAGAAAAATGAATACTTCAAAACACAATGGTAACCATGTTAAAGACGTTTTTACTATTTTTAAAAAGTCACCCAATAGTATGTTTCTAACCTTGCTCTACTCATCATTCCTATATTTTTTTCCACATGTTCTCTATAATGATTTAACATTCCTTCTGCCCTTAAAATATTAAGTCAGATGTAATGTGGTACTTAAAAAAAAAAAACTGGAAAAGGACCATTTATAATAATCAGGAATTAAGGAAATAATCCCTTACAAGGATTTCATCTAATGTTACCTACATGAAAAATCAGTATCATCAGAAGGCAAAGGTACAGAAACTTGGAAAGTGTACTGTCCTTATTAAAAGCAACCCAAGAGCTAAGATAAGCAGATCTACCAGTCCAGCTACACCTGTCACCGGTTCTTGATACTTGTTAAAACACAGCACTCTGAAGCAAAGCTTTCCAACTTCCTTCATGACACAGCCCACTTAGAAAATCGAAACATCTGTGCAGCATCTGAGTTCAAGGGATGAGGGGCTTTGGCTGCCTAGGGGCAGAGGGGCTCCGTGTCAGTAACCTGTCAGAAGTTCTCAGGGGTGAGCTAAGGGAGAAACTTGCTCTGACGACTCAGTAGAGAGAAGGGAGGGAAGGAGAGGGGGATGAGCATGCACAAACAATTCTGCACATGATTCAGGGGTTTCACGGTCTCCATAAAAATCCCTACCCTATAACACCAGCATCCTTCCTCCATTGGGATTCTGAGAATTATGTGACATCTGAAGTTGCACAGCTCATTACTGACACATCTAGAATGAGACTGAAGTGCCCTAAGACATCAAACTTCTCAATATTTCATGCTGATCTCCAGGGACAGATGGAATGCCCTACCACTTCTGAGCCAATGGAGTTAGAGATGCAGGTGGAATGGGCCAACAGGGCCACAATGTGCAGCTTCCAGAAGACAACACAATACCACAGTCTGCTCTCAGGATTCTGGAGTCCTTGTGTTTCTATTATAGGCTAAAGGAAATGGGAGAGGAGAGCAGACAAGATCGCCCAATAGGACAGAGTAGTCAGAAAGGGAGGTAAGTACTGAATCTTGAGGAACAGCAGAGAGAAACAAAACAGTCCCCTAAAGAAAACTGGTAAGAAGAAAGGGAGGAAGAGAGAAGGAAGAAAACACTATGGGGGGAGAGAGTATCACGAAGAAAGTATAGTCACTGTTGGATCATTTGAAAGATTAAGTAAGGCAAAAACTAAAGTGTCCTTTCTCTGCACTTGACCACTCAACCTCCTTCATGGCCTTGGGCCTCCATCTTAGCAGTAACAGGGCAGAGACAGGCAGCAGTGAGTGTTGGATGAGGAAGTGGACCGAGCAGAGATTAGAATGTCAACAAACTTGGTTCTGGAGGACACAGAGACTGGACAGAGAGTTCCCAGGAAGAACTCAGGACTAGGGACAAGAAAAGTGTTCATGAGAGAAAAGAATTCAGTGGTGTGTTTTTTTTTTTTTATCTGAACCATATCAGAAATGTAGACTAGGAGACAGGGATCACCCACTGAAATCATAACTAATGATATTAACTCTGTGTTCAGTTAGTAAACATCAGAGAGAAGGACATGTGACATCAAGGTGGCCTGTGCTGAGGGCACAAAGAGATACCTCCGTATGCTTCTGTCCACATCTTCCTACCTGCTCTGCCTGTTCCTCATCTGCCCGCACAGCTCTGAGCCTACCTCCTCCTCCATCCTGCCTTGCTAGCACAGAAACAGGGGTCAGGAAGGAGCAAAGAGGCAAAAATAGGTTAATATACTATGAGATAACACAAAATACATATGGTCTCTGCTCCCACTTCCTTGCATAGAGCCCCTAAAACCCTTGTAATTTCCTAAGTGATAAGGGCACTGGGAACATCTTTTGTTCTAATAAAACAACTCTGGGTGGGCTCCTAGAGGACTCCTAAAAGCTGGTCACCAGAAAGACGCCATGATTAGAACTTGGAATTTTCAGCACCTCCACCCCAACTCCTCCGTTCCTCTAGAGAGGGTAGAGGGGCTGGAGATGGTATATGTCTATGTGAGACAGCCTTACATAAAAATCCCAGTAGCAGGGGTTTCAGGGAGCTTCCAGGTGAGTAAACATATCCGTGTGCCAGGAAGGTGATGAACCCCAACTCAGGGGCTTGGGCCCTCCCAGACTGTGCCCTTTGTGTCTCTTCATTATTCTGTCCATCTGTATCCTTTATCATATCCTTTAATAACCTGGTAAATGAAAACAAACGTTTCCCAGTGTTCTGTGAGCCACTCTAGCAAATCAGTTGAACCTGAGGAGGAGTTGTGGGAACCTCTGATTTGTAGCCAAGTTGTACAGAAGCTGTGGGTAACCTGGGGCCCTCCTACTTGTGATGGGTACCTGAATGTGATGAAACAGTCTCATGGGACTGAGCCCTTAACCTGTGGGATCTGATGCCATCTCCAGGCAGACGGTGTCAAAGCTGAGTTAAACTACAGGACACCCTGCTGGTGTCGCAGAGTCACCTGGTGGCAGGAAAAACCCATACACTCGGGAACCACTAGTGTCAGAAGTGAAGTGTTCCATGTGAATGTGGTAATAATATGAAAGTAGATGGAGAACCGAGTTTTTTCCTTTACATACGCACTCAAACAAAACAGTACGTATGCCAGGTCTTTACTGATGTCATCTAGCACATATCTATTTCTAGTGGTGTATCATCTCCTCAAAGAAAAAGCAAAGATAGAAAATATGGATGAGCAGGAAGAAAAGAAGCCATGTTTTCTCTTTCCCACTGAGAGTAAGATCTTTACTGAGCTATCCACGATTTTGCTCTTACCTGAATAACCATATACTTCAACAGTATTTGAAGAAAAAAGCATGTTTGGTCCTCAGCAATCTTTTCCCCTGATATGGCTGGCAGTAGTGGAGTGATTTCTTCTGGATATATCTTTGCTGCAGAATGGAAAACAAGGAGAGCTCTTTCACCACATTTAAAAGGGTTTTTTGTTTTTTTTTTTAAATGGCCTCTATTAGAATACATCTATCCCTCCACTGGAACTGGCTCACACTATACTCCAGGTCAGTGTGCATCAAGGGTTTAGAAATACTGTGTAAATGTCCACGAAGCCACCTCTCTCTCTGAACCATTCTTTTCTCTTTCAAATTCTGCTTTGGTCAGCCTAAGATCAAGTGACTGCCACTGAGCAATAAAGTGATATGCATTAATAAATCAATGGCCCTAACCGGCAAGTTTCTTGAAAACTCACAGGATATAACTGGCTGCCATGCCATTAATACTCCCAAGAGGCCAGTACTGTCCCTCCATGAATGCTGCATGAAAATACACAGCTGGCAAAAAAGCCTGGGTGAGCAGACCAATGTCCACTCATGAAACAATCATGATGAGGACAATGAACAGTAGTTCTGGATGGCAGATTTAAATGTCATTAACAGCCATTAAACCACTCCAGACGCACCATGTGTCTCTATTTCCTGCTATTGCCAACATCTGTCTGCTCCCTTCCATTCCTGTTTCCACTACTTCAGTAAATTTCTCCTGTCACCATTTCATATAAGACAGTCTCTGATAACTTCAATTCTAATGTCTGTAAGACTTCACTGTGAATATGAACAGGTAGTAATTCCTCCTCCAAACAAACCCATCTATGAAATAAAGATTTCTATTCAAGGTAATGACAAACAAAGGAATTCCTCAATGTAACTTCAAGAATCATTTCAACCTGTAAGGTCTGCTAATGTTACTCACCATCCACTACACTAGGGCTAGGATTGAGGAGTGTCTCCAGCGTACAGGGCCCTCGGGATGACATGATCGCTGGGAAACCAGGCACGAGGCAAGCAAAAATTAGCACCTGCTCTTCTGCACAGTTTGTCTGAAGTGCTTGAAGCCACAGAAGAAACAGCCTGATTCCTTCACATCTTATCTAAAAATAAAAGGCAACAAAATTAAACACTGACATGTTTACACAGAGATGTACTGCAATGCAGAATCGGTTCTGAGAAAGTAAAACTAGAAGTTAAAGGTACTGTTAAATTACTACACCAGGTTCCTTTAGTGACAAATAAGCAGGCATGCTGCAATAAGCACAAAGGTTAAGAGCTGGGGGCTGGAGCCTCAGTGACTGGGTTAGAATGCAAGTTCTACTACTTGCTGGCTTAGCTATGGCCAGTGGAGAACCACTTAACTTCTCTATGCATTAGTCTCCCCCTCTGTAAAATAGGGATGATAACAAAATGTACCACAAGGTACTGGCACAGGGTTAAATGAGTTACAACAGTACCCATAACATTAATAGTCAATTATCCACAAAAATAATACAAAGATCATCTTTCTCCAGATTTACACTGTGCTTTGAATAGATTTTTTGTCATGTCTCTACAATATGCACATGTATAATTAACGTAATGTTCCTGAAAAGTCTTAGAACTAAATCAGACCTTGAAGACCTGGCTCAATGGGAAAGGGTAGCTCTCCAGCTTCCCTGCCTTATGTCCCTACTAGGCTCTCTCCAACAGCTTCCCTGTGCTCTGAACGACCAGCACTACTTGGTGGGATACATCAATACAGGCAGATGGGCCCTTTGTCCTCTTCTACACGTACTTTCAGCTCCATCCCATTCCTAGAATTCATAAACACAGGTATGCAATTGTTTCTACCTTCCTAAATGGCTGAAAAGATAACACCAATAAAAATAAGGAAAAGAGATGAAAAACCTCTCATATGAAGCTGAAAGATACAGTGAGCTCCAAATGTAGGTAACTGAGAAACTGCCTGATCTCTCAACTACACCAAGGTGGTGCAGATTCCTTAAGCTTAAGGGTTTAAGCCAAACATGAGGCTCTGCAGGAAAGCCAAAAGAAGGGAAGGGAAGGGAAAGTAAGAGGAGAAAAGAAGGGAGAGGAGGGGGGTTGGAGGTAGAGGAGGAGGGGGATAGAAGGAGGGAAAGGAAGGGTAAGGAAGGGAAAGGAGGGGAAGGGAGGGGAAGGAAGGGAAAGAGCAAGTTTAGCTGACTCCCCAAAGAAGCCAACACACCAAGACAGATACTCTGTCTGGAGACAGTTCTACTCTTATCAACAGTGGATTCCAGGACACACTCTCCGACATGCCCATGGACACACCACTGCTGTGCACAAACCTTCATGACCACTCACACCCGTCCTCCTCTCCCCAAGCAGGCAAAATAAGTGGTGGCACTGCTGAATACACAATAGACAAAAAAAAGGACATGGCTCTATGTATATCTAACCAAATTATATTAAATTTAACAGGAGGAAAGTTTCTATAAAATTATATCATGTCTCCAACTTTTTATGTTAACTATATTTAAGTTAATAATATATATATATAAGGCCAGTAATAAACCTGAGGTCACAACCTGCTAAGTTTTAACTGCAAGATTATTAATATTAAAATAGGAAGGATAAAATATGGAATCTATTGTGAAGCTAGGAATAGCTCACCTCCCTTTTTCAATATGTAAGAGATACTTAACAGCAAATTTAAGTGGCTAAGAGTGTTTAGACTGGTATAAAATAAAAAATATATGGGGAACTTATTAAAAGCACATACATAACTTGATTAGCTACAAGTGAATTACCTTCCATAAAATACATATTCCAGGCTGGCTTCTCTTGCCATTTATGTTTTAGGGTCATCTTATCTAGCATCAAATGTTATATATCATCATAAAAGGTATGTTCATTTTTAAATAAGCCAAAGGTAACCTGAAGTACAAGATCAATCTGCGGCAAACAAATAAGTAAAATATTAAGAGTAAGGCTCTGCTGCTCTTCCCCCGACAATGGTTCTCAAAACCAGCAAAAATAATTCAGATGCAACTATAATTTTAACAAGATTACTGAGGTGAACAGAATTCAGCACATTAACTCTGAAGCTTGGAGAAGAACTGGTTCAACCCCTTCCCTTTCCTGATGATAAAACTAGAGCAGTTAGTGCCTTGGCAATGGGTCCCTGACTACACAGCAGAATCAAAATTAGAATTCTGAATTCCAAACTCTGAATCGTAAGGTCTTTCTCTGAATAGTATCTAAAATGTATATCACAGTAAGTTATGATGTAAGAACAAAAATTCTAACAATGTTTGCCATATAATTTTTTTTAAGATTTTATTTATTCATGAGAGACACACACAGAGAGGCAGAGACATAGGCTGAGGGAAAAGCAGGCTCCTCTTTTAAGGAGCCCGATGCAGGACCTGATCCCAGATCCCAGGATCACACCCTGAACCAAAGGCAGCCGCTCAAGCACTGAGCCACCCAGGCGTCCCGCCATATAATTTTCAATTAAAAATAAAAAGTTAAAAAAATAAATAAATGAAATAAAAAATAAAAAGTTGAGTGGTTTTTAAAATTTTTTTCCCCAAAATAGCCTAATTTTGTCACTTTATGACATTAATAAATTTAAGAACAATGCAAGATGCCATTGCACATCCACCTAAAATAAATACCTTAATAGAATTTCCAGTGTGTAGAAGCTTCTTTAAAGTTGAGCCTGGAAGTTTAAAACACTGAGTTAGAAATAAAGTATATAAATTTACACCCACACACAAGAAAACCTCAGAATGTATATTTTAAAAGATTAGTTTTGGAAAGGAAATGTTTGTTAATGACAAAACATACAATTTTTAAAAAATAAAACTGACCTTCAGAAACAAAGCAATGTCACAGGAGAGATATCTTTAAGATGAAAGTACTTTAAATATGAATGAACTTCTTCAAAACTCTTAAAAGAGTCAAAATGACTGATATTAAAGTAACATATATGCCCACGGTGGATTATGTGTAAATATCTCATCATGCATAATATTCATCATTTTTTCTAATTTCTAAAGGTAAAAATAAGACTACTACTCACAAAACATTTTATAAGAATATTTTGCAAATATTCAAGACAGTGTGTTTCTCTCTTTTCAGTGACAATCACATTTAGGGGTTCAGTCCATCAAGAAGTCCTCTAGTAGAAACTTTGGTCATTGTCAAGGAGAAGGAATCAAAGTTTACTCAGAACTACACCAGTCAACTGCAAAAACTTTGGTGCTGCAGCCCACTTCAATTAGAAAAATTCTCTTATGAGGATGGAAATATATTACCTACATTCTATAAATGTGTTCATATCTTAATATGGAGATGGCTTGGCAACCCCACCTAAATATCAGATGTAGGCTCTAAATGGGATCTTAACCTCAAAGAAGGAAGTAATCTTTAAAAATAAAAATATATTGGAAGTTAGGCAACAGAACCTTTCCTCCCAAATTTTTCTGGGAAAAAAATTATATAGATCTGATTCGAAGTTTTATGCAATAATTAAAACCTGGACATCAAATAACATTTACTCCACCACTGTATTTCAAAGAGATGTTCCACCAAGAAATAGGGCTAGTCTCAACAAATTTCCACAGGTCATATTTATGTGGATATAGATACATGCATGTTAGTTAAATGCATACAATTTTTTAACTGCTGTGCTATTTATAACACTCAACACTGGGGCTTAGTGGAAATGACTACATTACAGCATTAAATCACCAACAGTTTGTGAATAAGTAAGGGAAGTCAAAGTACCCCCTTCCCTCTACTTCTCCTGTCACCAAACCATATCCAGTAATTTTTGGTCTATCATCAGCCTATACTGGGCTAAGCTCTCTCACAGCCACGGTTCAAGCATCTGTTCCCATGGGAGTGTTTTATCCCACACCTCCCCTTAATCTGGGGCCTGTCTCTTGCTTCCATGTTCATCCATTCTTAGACAAAGTCTGGTGTGTCTCCGTTTACTTTTATTTTTTTATTTTTTTAAAAATATTTTTTTTATTTATTCATGAAAGAGACAGAAAGGCAGAGACATAGGCAGAGGAAGAAGCAGGTTCCCTGTGGGAAGCCCGATGCAGGACTCAATTCCAGGACCCCAGGATCACAACCTGAGCCAAAGGCAGACACTCAACCACTGGAGCCACCCAGGTACCCCTGGTGTGCTTCAGTTTAATATTGGCTTAATTTGCCCATGAGGACCTCATGTGGTTGGCAGGGTCAATAGACACTCCACTTCCCAAGAAATTTGAGATAAAGTCTGCACACACAGCTCTCTTCCCAGACATCTGGGAAATCCTTTATCTTGCAACACATTCTTGGAAACACTTTCTCCTGGTCATTGCGTGTGACCACTGGGGCTTATCAGCCCTTTCTCTTCTTTGAATGGGTCCACAGTTTTACTTTTAACATCTGATCTACCCATAGCTGCCTATATCCACTCATTTCTACACAGAGAGAAGAAAAACACTTAGAGAAAGGATAGCCTTTACAAAAAGACATACAGAATGTCTCACCCATTTCTGCCAATAGCCCTTGACTTTTTTTTTTAAATTAACCTGGCAATTTGTGAGAACAACAATAGAAAACTAGTACATATATATTTGATCTATCCCATCTTGTTGTATTCAGAAACTCTTGTACATGTGAAGCAGTACAGCTTGGCAGATACAAGCCAGAAGTCAGACTTGCTAGGATTCAAATCTAGGCTCTGCACTTACTGTTTAACCTGAGTCAGTTACTTAATCTCACCATGCCTGAGTTTTCTCATCTGTTAAATGGGATACTAACAGTGCCTACCATAGTGGATTATTGATGAAGTTTAAATGAGTTAATATATACAAATGCTTAGAACAGTGTCTGGTACATGAAAAGCATATTTTCCCTATAAGATAAGGCATCAATTATTCTCTAAGGCACTCTTTTAATTTTTTAAATTCATTCTTTATTTTTTTTCATTCTTTATTTTATTTTAAAGAGGCTCCATGCCCAAACTTGGGGCTTGACCTCACAACCCTAAAATCAAGACCTGAGCTAAGATCAAGAGTCTGACCCACTTAACTCACTGAGCCACTCCACCCAGGTGCCTACTAAGTCACTCTTTTTAAATATGAACAACATTATAAGGAAGATTTGTACAGTAGGGGCACATAGCATAGTATTTCAATATGAAAATAGGTAATAAATACATGAGAGCATTGCCTGGCCACTTTAGGTATTTCTTAAGGTCCTAAGTTCACAAAGATATTGCTACTGTAACTACCATAATGAAATCCTTTTCATTTTAATTTCAAAAAGTTTCTATGTATCATACCTACTTGGACTTTTAAATACCACCCACACTATGATTATATACTCATCTTTATCTCTTTTAGGTGCCTCTTCAACCCTACTGGTTGCTACTGTATTGATTCATGTGAGGAGAAGATGAATAAATGAGTAAATAAAATCTATTAGTTGGACTGATTCTATGAACTTCTAACTTCTATTCACTAACTTGTATTTCATAATACAAGTTATTCTTAGAATACAAATATTCTTTGAATGTGAGTCTTACTGCTTTTAAGGAAGACTGGATTTAGGATGAGAAGAGTAAGGAGGGGAGGAGTCTAGACAAGATTTAAGGGGGCACCAAAAACTTAGTAATCAAAATAAATAATATTTTAATACAATAATTTCTAAAAATCAATTATTGCAATTAATGCAAAAAATCCATGATGAACATTACTGGTCAGTAAGTACCAGTGTTCAGCTGAGGCGTACTGGAGCCTATGGTAAAAGGAAAAATGTACACCACTCTAGATATGCTTTTGTGTATTTTTAATGGTTAATTTTTTTCCAGAACACTTAAGCATTGAAAAACTATTGCAAAAAACAAAAAGCTCAATACTGAACAATCAAAAAGTATAAAGTTCATCATTAGTTTAAATATTTTGTTTTATAACACAGAATATATTATAATTTCACTTTCCTGGCTTTAATGGAACAAATTCAGCAAGATTTTCAAAATCTTCTTTGCTTATCTCCTTTTCAATTGTGAGAACTGCAATGCTTGACCATTTCTCCTGACACAGTAACAATCTTGTAGATATCTTTTCAAGGCCACTAGTTCACAAAGATAATTCTAATCTAACTATTATAAAATGGATTCTTACTTAGTTTTAATTTTTTAAAAACTGTCTCTGTGTATCATGCATCAAACCAATTAATAAGCAAAGGCAGGATACCACACCAGGGAAGGTACAAGAACACAGAGAAATACCCTTTGGGGTGCTGATGTGCAAGATGCACTGAAAACTGCCAGTGGAGCAGGAACACAGAACTTTCTGGCACTACAGTGTCTACAATAAGAACACAGGAGAAGGAGTTCCTGGAGGAATTTGAAATTAATCTCAAAAGGAATCAGGGACTTAAATGTGAAACATATTAATTACAGACTTTCTAGAAGAAAACATAGAAGATCTTTGTGATCTTGGGTTAGGCAAAGATTCCTTAGGACACCAAAAGAACAATCCATAAGAGAAAAATTGATAAACTGGACTTCATCAAAATTAAAAACCTTTATTCTTTGAAGGACATAACTAAGGGAATAAAAAGACAAGTCAGAGATGGGGAGAAAATATTCCCAAGTCACATATCTGATAAGGCACTTAAATCTGGAATATGTACAGAACTTTTAAAATTCAATGTTGAGAAGACAACCCAATCAAAAAAAGATGGTCAATCGATTCAAACATATACACTGCCAAAGACATAGAGATGGCAAATAGTACATGAAAGATGCTTGAGATCATTAGTCATTAGAGAAATGCAAATTAAAACCACAATAAGATATCACTACCATTAAAATAAAAGGACTGGGGATCCCTGGGTGGCGCAGCGGTTTGGCGCCTGCCTTTGGCCCAGGGCGCGATCCTGGAGACCCAGGATCGAATCCCACATCGGGCTCCCAGTGCATGGAGCCTGCTTCTCCCTCTGCCTATGTCTCTGCATCTCTCTCTCTCTCTCTGTAACTATCATAAATAAATAAAAATAAAAATTTAAAAAAAATAAAAAAATAAAAGGACTGATCATACTAAGTGTCAATGAGAATGTAAAGTGACTACAACTCTCATACTGCTGGTAAGAATGTCAACCACTATGGGAAGTAGTCTGGCAGTTAAACATATAACTTTATATTATTTAGCCATTCCATTCTCAAGAGACAGGAAAGCACATGTGCACATAAAGGCTTGTTTAAAGAAGCTTCATTTATATCCAAATACTATATCCAAATAATATTTATATCCAAATCCAAAAACAGCCCAAATGCCCATCAATAAGTGATTGGATACACAAACTATGATATATCTATACAATGGAATATCATACTACTCAGAAATAAACTATTAATATATGCATCAACACAGAAGAATCTCAAAATAATTGTATTGAGTGAAAGAAGCCAAACAAAGAGTACACACTGCATGATTCTACTTCTTTAAGATTCTAGAAAATCAAATTAATCTATAATGACCAAAAAGCAGATGAACAGTTACCTGGGGACCGGGTAAAGGGGTGGGAGAAGGGCACGAGGAAACCTTTGGGGATGATGGCTATGTTCATTATCTTGATTGTAGTAATGATTTCACAGGTATACTACCTATATCGAAACTTCTCAAAATTAACATTATCTACAAATAGTTTATT